TCTCTTACAGGAAATCACATTGCTCTCCAAAATGTCATGCCATGCCTTGCAGCCCTCTAGAATTGCTCACACAGATGTGTTTCCTTCAAACTGCATCTGAAGACCTGATACTGATTTTGAATATGAAAAAGCTCTAGGTCTCCGGAAGCATGCCAGGTCACTCAGCATGACTCAGAAATACACTTTTCCATGTAAACTGACAAGGTACACATGGTCAGGAATGTATTACTAGCTTTAAAAAACCATTCCTGGGAGAAATGTGTTTATTACGTAAGACTCAAAACACTTAAAACAACTCTTCCATCATCTTGAAGAACTACAAAATGCATCACAGAATTTTGGAATTAAAATATCATTTTGTTCAACTTCCTCAATTTTAGGTGGATAAGAAGGTGGCTTTGTTTTTTTTGTTTTTTAGATTTGCTCTTTATGTGCTTTTTTTCAACTTTTCATCATGGCTAATTTTAAACATAAAGGTGGATAGATAAATAGAATAAAATCCCTTGTGAGTACTAGTCGAACCTATTCAGTTGCCTTTTTTTTTTTTTTTTTTTTTTTTTGCCATTCTGGAGATTGCGCTCAGGGTCCCATGCATGCTAGCCAAGTGTTCTACCAACGTCTTGTTCTCAGATCTGATGGAGAATGCATAATGCGAGCCAAAATATAACGCCCTGTTTGGGTCTGGGGTTTGGGTTTTGCTGCTTTGTGCTAATTTTAACGCAGGAGGTCAAAAGCTATGGAATAAAATCAAGAGAGATTCATAAAATCAACAACTTAATGTCTCGGTCTATGGTTGTCCCCCATTCTTTAAGTCAAACCAAACCACCCAGACAGCAGCCCATAAAGGCAAGTCCCTGGAAGTCCCACCCAGTGAACCTGAAATCCCTGTGTCCTCTCCAGCCTTGCGTTTGCTCCACTCCATCCCATTTTGGTCGAGTTTCTAATCTCTCTCTTACTGTTTTCATTCTACAATTAACTTTGTCTTGGACAGTTTGATATCTTTGTCGTGTTGACTACTCCTGGTCTAAGCGCCTGCACTCACACTTTCACTTACCATTTCTCCGGACTCAGAGCCCTCGGAGAGGGATTTAGCGGTATGTCAAATACGATTAAGGCGCTGACAAATCATTGCGTGGGAAGACATTGTTTTAATCTGTGAAGCCATTATTCTCTCCAAAGAAAGTTGGCTGCCGTTGTTATTTGGTGATACTCTTTCACTTCCATCAACCAAAAGTGTTTGTCCACAAAAGTAAAACAAGATGTCATTGTTTTCTTCTTTTACAACTGTTGAAGGTGACAGAAATACTTGATGCTTCTTTTATACTCATCCAGTGAGCCTGTGTGTGTTTACGAAAAAAGGATTCCAATATGTTCAATAAAAGAAATCCTCCTGTTACTTAATTTTTGGCCAAGGAATTCAAAGTTAATAATTCCTCTTAACTGTCTGCAAAAGTATGACACGATGATTTAAGAGATCATCCCAAATAACGTAAACAGTAAAAGACACCTGACCCAATTCTCATTTTGAACGTTAAGACACTAATCTGTTCTCATTCAGTCAGTTCTTACTCCTTCTTTGACACATATTATTGAAGAATAAATTAGTCAGTGAAGAAGTGTCCAGTAAAGGTCCTTAAAAATGTACTGGTCCACTACAGGCGAGGCTTGATGTGAGGGGGGGTAAGTGTGCAGGCCTGTGCATGTGTGTGTGTGTGTGTGTGTGTGTGTGTGCGCGCATGTGTGTGCATGTGCATGTGTGTGTGTGCGCGCATGTGCGTGTGTGCTGCTACACATAGGCATGTTTCAGAAGCAGAAACTGATTTCTATTTATTTATTCTCTCAAACTCCCAATGTCCTTGATCCCAACAGAATGAATTTATTAATTGGTGAACTCACAATTAGGAACCAAATACACTGCCAAAGGGCAGAGCAAACTAGCCAGTCCAAAAGGAAGTAAAACTCATGATCTTTGTCTCAGTAACATGATGTTAAACAGCTAATTAGGCTGGAAGTTTATGTTCCAGAAACAAATTGCATTTGTTAAGACTAAACCATTAACTCCCCACGCAGCCCTCTTCTCACTGTTAAATGTAGCACCTAGTATCTTCATCTCAACTAAACAAAATAAAAGCCCAGGGAGTGAGAGCCCAGGGAAAGCAGCAACCATGTCTAGAGATGGACATACAGTTCTCCCTGCCATAAAGTAATACCCAATTTAAGCTAGTTATAAACTTTTTAAAATTCTTTATTGGTATGTGTTTGTGATACATAATAAATGTATTCATTATGGGGGCTTGCAAGGGAAAATTTTAATATAAAACACACAATGTATAGGATTATCTTATAATATTCACCCAAAGAGTCACATGCAAGAGTGCGGGAGATCGGTGCACACACTAGAGACCCGGACAATCCAGCGAGGGCCCGGATCCCATGGCAGTGTCCTGCACATGTCCAGCTGAGACCTAGAGCCCCGGGCAATGTCCTCCATCAGTCCAACTGGAGGCCTAGAGCTCAGAACAGTGTTTCATACAAGTCTGTATCAAGGGTCTGCACTGGGAAGGCCCAAAGGTGGGAGCTAGGAAGTCTGCACCATGGGGTGGGGGAGCTGTGTCACCAGGCTGAGGGATCTGCACTGGAGCCAGGAAGAGACACTCAGAGAGCTGCCCGCTGAAAGAACCGCCAAGGGAACCGCAGCCGTCCTCAGCAACGGGAGGACCTGCGCTGCTCCAGCAAGAACAGCTGAGCTCATATCAGGAAAACCAGCACGACAAGCTTCTCCAAGAGGATCAGCAGCACACCATCGTCCCCCCCAGCTCTGCTCTGCGCAATTGGCAGTGACCCTCAGGCAGGCCTTCCACACCCGGCACCACGCAGACTCGGTCCCGCTGGGTGTTACAAGTTGACCATTAATTACTCCACCACACGGCCTGATTTAAGTTTCAGAACTGAGAAAGGAGTTAAACAACTCCGTAGCAACCGCTGTGGGACTTCCCCCAGGGAAATCAGGATCGCACGGGTAATTTTCACACTAGCATTCTTTGCCCTCAACTTCCAGCCTCAGTGAGGCCCTTCCAAAGCCTGCCTCTTCTGCAGAGCCCCCACGGCAGGAGGCAAAAGTTCTTGCCTCTCAAGAGCCTCTTAAACCTGGGAGCAGGGACACGAAGCTTCCCCAGAAGAAGCCACACCTGGCAGGTGCTCCTTGGTCCACTGATCCCTTCTCCTTCGTCCGCGTGGATCGCTCATCCCAGAGGCTGACTCAGGCCGCAGTGCTGCTGTGTGGGACGTCTGCAGCCTGCTCCTGGCTCCACTGCTTGGACTTCGGATCTGTCCCCCTTTCGCTGCCAGCCTTGATGTCCACCTCCACCCAGTCCCACTTTGAAACCAGTATCTGCTGCTCAGGTGCTAGTTTCTCTGAACTTGCTCCACACCTACTTCACACAAACGATCTGTGTTTTAGGTTCTGACCAATCTGTTTGGTTGGAAATTATGTTCCTAATCCTTCCAGGTTCTTTCTGACCCAGTCCCTAACTCCTGGTTTCTCAAAATCCAGCAATATAACATGATTCTAAATGAAACTTTACAGGAATGGTTAGTTAAATACCGGTTAGAAGTTTTTAAAATCTATCTTGATCATAGTATCTTTCCGCTCCTTTCTTTTTGCTCCCTATCCGGTCAAAGTTTAGGAATTATTTATAGGGTTTATTTTTCACTCTACACCGTGAGAACCCTTTGGCACACAGGTGTTTGAAGACTTAGAAAAGCATGCTCTCTTATGTAAGCATCGCTAATTATTTGTGGAATGATAGGCTAGACCAGCTGTGTCGGACCCTTAGCCCCTGGGCCACACGCAGCCCTGGACAGCTGGTAATGCAGCCCACAGGATTTTAAATTCAGAATTTTTATATTATCACCTGATTTGTCTGTGTGTGCGTTGAAATGTGTTTCTTCTTGCACCCACCCCCATTTTAGTGGTACTGCAGATTGAAACCAGGGGGTACTCTATCACTGAGCTACATTTCCAGTCCTCTTTTTCTTCTTTCAGAAAGGCTTTCCTTAAATCTCCTAGGCTGGCCTCAATTTGTGATCCACCTGCCCTCACCTCTCATGGCGCTGGGATCACAGGTGTGCACCACTCTGCCTGACTTAGTATTTTTCATGACCAGCGGCACAGTGCTTCAGGGCGGCCTGTACAGGCAACGAGGAAATGCTGCGTAGGGAAGGAGGCAGCCCTCCTTCCCCCACCACCCGGGTGAGTCAAATTAAAACTCTCTCCTATCAGGTGTTACCCTTGCTGCACACTTTGGTGAACAAAACAAAATGATTACAAGTAATCATATTTCAACCTAGCTACATGTGTGCACTGGCAAAGAGAGACGTTTACTGTTATTCAGCAAACACGTACGTTTTCTTGTTTAATTATTAAATTTTGGCCTGGGTTATTTCAGAAAATATCTTCATAAGTGAAAATAATTTTTTAATAGCTGTGGTATGGGAAATACAAAAACGTGTTAGTTTCTTGTTCACCGCAGTGCTATAATTAGATATACAACATCACTCACACTAGAAGTGCTACAGTAAGAATATGGATTGCCTCTGGTCATAGTTTTCAGTGACTCCAGAACCCCACAGGGCTCCCAGACAAGCAGCAGGCTGAAAGGAGGGACATGAAAAAAAAGCAGTGTCCTCCTACAAATGTCACTCCTTTGGGACTGTGAGAGTGACAATAAGGGTCACATACAGACCGTCTAGTTTTACTTGTCTTCACCTTAACAAGAGTTTGTGGCATCTAGGCTAGAAGGAAAGATGCGGCGTTACTTATTGCCCACACAGCAATGAGGCCACTTCAATAACGGATCGAACTTCCAGCTTCTGTTTGCAGCCACGTGGCCCAGCAGGCTCCCCCACGCCTTGGCACTGCCCTCTGCAGAGGTGATGCCTTCGAATCGCAGACGCTGAGCTCACATAGCAACCAGGAGTACACACAGTCTCCACAGCCACAAGAGAAGAGGGCGCCAACCGAGGAAGCCACCGGCAGCTCCCGGCACGCACAGCCAGGAAAAGGCGCGCTGCGAGGATGGCTTAGGCTTGTCACGAGCACCTGTATAATCAAGGCACTTCCTCTCCCCCACAGCGCTGAACCCGGAGGCAGGGTCCCCGCCTGGCGTGGGGCAGTGGGTAAGGTCTGTACCAGTCATGGTTTAGGTTTCAACAAGTAGATAAGTACGAAAAGCAGTCTTAGGTGACACCTCTGCTGGCTAGAATTACTGTGTATTCTGGTCTTCTAGATAATAAAAGGTACTTTGAAGAGTCTCCCAGAAATTAACTTCCTATTTCTGCTTCAGAGAAAGTTTTATAACCTGGGAATTTATGGTACTATTATCTCTTTCTTAAATCAGAATAAAAATTGAGAGGCTAAAAGCATCATATTTCAATTTACATAATTTGGGAGTAAATGATGACCCCAACACTGAATATCTTGACTGATGGTTTAACTCAACCTTCTACTTTAAATCAAACTATACTTGGTGGAGAAATGTTTCTTCTAAACAATTAGATGGGAACACTGGAGCAACTGAATCAGAAGTGAACACATTTTATCTCGGCAAGTTGCCATATAAGCTTGTCTTTCCCCAGAGGATTTTGGAACAGCTTGCAAGGGCTTCACCCACTGTGAGCTGAGACGTCCCAGGCGGGGTCCCCGACACATGCTGATGAAAGTGTGCATGGCAGCACAGTGTATCACAGGCCAGGAGCAAGAAGAAATTATTAAATGCCGTACGTCAATGTGGCACTTGCCTGGGCACTGCAAAAGCACTGTCAAACCTGGTATTTTCTATAAAACATGTTCATTTAACATTATCAAATTCCTACCCTCTCAGCAGGGTTTAATAAAACTGAAAAGAGTCACCTGATGTTATAGATCTTTCCAAATTATCAGTTTACACTTTAAGACAAAATTAACTTAAATCTGTCATCAAAATACAATAATGTCTAAACCTGCTTGTTAGTGAAAAGTCCACTTAAACTTGTAGTTCTGCCATTCCAAGTTAAATTCTGACTTTGAAACACCACTGGCAAATCTGAAAGTAAAATAAGAAAATATGAAGCAATGGAAAAGTCTCCTCGGGCTCACAGTGCTCAACAGAAGGTATTTCCAATCCTCAACATGTGTTTTACAGCTTTCTTTTATAAGGAAGAAAGATCACTTCACAAGGAAAATAAATCTCTCTAGAAGTATGTTACCTTTTTTTTACATTTGTGAAAGGAATGGGTAACATTTAAAAAGAGCGTTTCAACTTAATTGCCTTATCTACATACTTGACAGAATATCATCTATTCTCAAAATAGTTCACCAAGTCTATGCACCTGGAAGAAACTGCAACATTGATTATTGCTTGACTGTTTACCTAGAATGAAGGTGTCACTAATAGGTAAATGAGATGCAGACACTCATTTTACTTGTGCTGATCCAAATTCAAATAATATATTTGTTCCAAAAGGGTAAAAAGTATACAATTTTTCTTTAATTTAGATCATCAACCTTCTCTCACTTATAGTAAATTAAGTACTAAGGTGCCGGAAAGAAAAAGCTCTTTCAGGAAAACATGTTTCTCAAAAGCTTTCTATATAATAATAATGCTAAAAGTGGAAATGTGGAGTTCACGATAAAATAAAAAGGCAGAGGAATGGACATCTGAATCAATTATCACTAAAAAAATATTAGAATTTAAACTAATATTTGTGTTCAAGTAACTACAACTTAGTTTTTCCTCAAACCGAGAAGTATTTTCATCTACTAGATTTTTCTGTGTCTGCTAGGCAAGAGTCCTTTATAAGCTGAGGAAAAAATGGGTTTCCTCCTTTGTTACAGAAAACAGTTAACATTTGTTGGCTTGATAGCAGAAGCAGTGTTATCGTCATTGAGTATTTGTCAATTATTTAACACCAAGTAAAACTAATATCTGTTTCTCTAGAAATGTAGAACCAAGTAGATGGTTCCAAATATATATATCACAGTAGAGGCAGTAGGTCCTGGAGGAAGCTGGCATGAAGCCCTCTGGATTTTCCCTTCTGAGTACCAAGATGCCAGCCGTTATACATAATGGGAAGCTACATAATGTAGCTACATAAATGGGAAGTCAGGCAATGTTCCATTTTTGTTAATAACCCTTGAGAAACAGAGAAAATACCAAAAACATAGATGCTGCTATGCGTAGGATAAATACAATCAATTTTGAAGGCACACTGTCACCACCTATCAAAAAAGGTATGTATAAAACTTAAACTGGCAGATTTAATCAGTGTTCATTCCTCTGTATGGAAGTACTCTTTGAGAAAAATAATTGATTCACCTTTGCACCCATGCCCCCTCTCTGCTATCATTATTTACATCTGTTCTACATAATATAAAAATAAACAAGGAATAAAATCATATTTTAACAAAAATTATTTTTTAAATTAAAAAAAATTAAATACTTTCCATATGCATCATGCTCTCAACTTTATGATGAGACTAACGCTGAAGCTTGTTCCTACAAACCTGCCTATCTCCAAAAGTCCTTCAATTTTCACCCCTCCTCATGACTGCAAGCCTATCCGGAGTGCCAGCACCACTGTTCACACTGTCTACCTCTTCACCCCACATTCCTCCTCAAATCTATAGTTAAGAAACTCCAACAAGGTACTGCCTTTAGGTTTGGTAGTCTGTACTAAACCTAAATGTATTAGGTATTTGTGAAATGCTTATTGCCTTGTGGCCCATGGATTACTCAATGAAATAAAATAGATATAAATGTATGAATCTAATCTCTTAAAAAGTTTATTTTTAAATCTTTGTAACCATTTCCTTTAAACTGATTTCTCAAAAAGATCAGTGAGTCTACAGAAGATAGTAATAAAAAGCTAGAAAAACCAAACAAAATGATGCAAAACATGAATGACCATGAAAGAAGAGTCCATAAAAATGCTCCAAATAGAAATCCAGGAGATTAAAAATTCTATTGTAAGTATGAGCAGCAGCCGAACATGATGGTGCATAGCTCTAATCACAGTAATTGAGGGCTGAGTCAGGAGGACTGCTACAAGTTCAAGGCCAGCCTGGACTAAATAGTGAGTTCAAGACCTGCCTGAACTGCATAATAAGACACTGTCTCATAAAACAAACAAACAAGCAAAAGTATTGCCAGCAAAAGTGACCAGTGTGAGAACAGAGTGTCAGAACTAGAAGATAGGTGTGACCTGTTAGAGATACCTTGAAAACAAAAAAAAAGTGCACAAAAAGGGGATTCAACAACTCCTAGATGATGCAGAGAAGACAAATCCAAGATTAATTGGAATTAGTGAAAAATCAAGACAGCACAAGTGGTATAAAAACTGTTTACTGAAATAATAGCAGAAAACTTTTCAAATAAGAGAATTTAACGTAAGGATAAGTGAGGCATATAGACCCCTAAGTAACCATGATCAGGAAACAACCTCTCCACAACACTTGATAGTCAAAATTCTAGAAGTCCAGTGCAAGAATAGAATCTTAAAAACAGTTACAGAAAATAAATGAATCACAGTAAACCATTAAAATGACAGCATACTTCTCAACACAAACCTTAAAGGTCAGGAAAGCTTGGAGTGCAGTTTCAGTTCCTAAGGGAAAACAATTTCCAGCCCAGGCTGATACAACCTGCAAAATTATCTTTCCAAATGGGAAAAATAATATATTTTCATGATAAAGAGCACCTAAAGTAATTCATGAGCACCAAACCAACCCTCCAAAAAATTCTCCAGGATATCCTAAAAAGAGACAATGAAGCTAACAATGAAAAAGATCTCATAATATGAATATCCCAGACATGGTGAGCAATTAAACAGAAGGGAAGGATAGGGAATCCGCAATAGGAAAATAAGGTGATGACAGGAATAAGTCAATACATGTCAGTAATAACTCTCAGTGTGAATGGTCTCCATTTCCTGATCAAAAGACAAAGACTAAACAGCACCCAATGATATGCTGTATACAAGAAATACATTCAACCCTAAAGGAAACTCTAAACTAAAAATCAAAAGATAGAACATGACAATGTTTTATGCAATAAGAACCTGAAAACAAGTAGGTGTAGCTACCCTACATTTACACAAAATGGACTGCAGGCCAAAACTGACTAAAAGAGACACAGAAAGTAATTACATATTGGTTTATGGGACAATCCAATAGAAGGCAATAACAATAATTAACATAGATGCACCAAACAATAGCACCTCTAACACAATAATAGTGGAGGAGAAAATAAAGACAATAATAGTGGAGGACATCATAAGAACCCTACTATCACAAATACACAGATCAATTAGACAAAAAAAATCAGCAAAGAAATATCAGAATTGAGTAAATCCTTCAAACAATACACTTCAAAGATATCTACAGAGCATTCCACCCAGCAACAAAATACACATTCTTCTCAGCAGCACATGAAACTATCTCCAAAACAGACTACACACTACCCAATAAATCAGTCTTAAGTAAATGTAAAAGAATTGAAATTATACCATGCATAATTATCAGACCATAGCACAATGAAGTTTGAAATCAGTGAAAAAGAGAATGAAGAAATTATGCAAATGCATGGAAAGTAAACAGTACACTATTAAATAAATGATGAGTTACAGAAGAAATCAAGGAGGAAATAAGACAGTATCTAGAAATGAATAATAATGCCAGTACAACATACCAGAACTTCTGAGAAACAATGAAAGCAGTTCAAAGAGGGAAGCTTATAACAGAGAATGCTCAAATCACAAAAACAGATCAAATCCAAATAAATAACCTAATTTGCACCTCAAGGTCCTATAAAAACAAGAACAACCCAAAGTCAAAGCTAGTACAAAGATGGAAATTATAAATATCAGAGCTGAAATTGAGAACAAAATAATATAAAGAATCAAATAACTGGTTTGTCAAAAGGATAAAGAAAATAGACAAGACCATGGCCAATCTAACAAATAAAAGGAGAGAAAAACACAAATCAATGCCATTAGGAATAAAAAAAAAATGCTAAGTCACAATGGTCACTACTAAGATAAAAAGGATTGTTGAAAACTAGTTCACAAACCTATATGCCAATAAAGTGGAGGATTCAGAAGAAATGGATAGCTTCCTGGATACATGTGAAGTATCAAAACTGAACCAAGAAGATTTAAAACCCTGAATAATCCAATGACAGGCAATGAAACTGAATCAGTAATAAAAGAAAGAAAGAAAGGAAAAAAAAAAAAAACCTACTAACAAAGAAAAGCCCAGGTCAGATGGGTTCTCTGCTGAATTCTCCAAAAACTGTAGAGAAGTTCAAACACCTATATGCCTCAAGCTTTTTAATGAAATTGAAAAGGAAGGACTACTCTCAAATTCATTCTTGGAAGCTACTATTACCCTGATTTCAAAACCAGACAAGTATCCAACCAAAAACCAGAACTACAGGCCAAACTTTAATAAATACAGATGCAAAAATCTTCAACAAGATACTAGAAAGCAGAATGCAGCTGGCTTCATCCCAGGGAAGGAAGGATGGTTAAACACATGCAAAGTAATAAATGTAATACAACACATAAGCAGAATCAAGCACAAAAATCACATGATCATTTGAACAGATGCAGAAAAAGCCTTTGACAAAGTCCAACATTCTTTCATAATGGAAAAAAAAAAAACACTGAAGAAAATAGTACAGATGGGCCTTATCTCAATCTGATAAAAAAGTCATTCATGACAAACCTACTGCCAATATCATATTAAAAGGTGAAAACCTGAAAACTATCCCTCTAACATCAGGAACAAGACAAGGATGTCCATTATCACCACTCCTATTCAACATAGTACTCAAAACATTAGCAAGAGTGATTATGCAAGAAAAAGAAATAAAAGGGATATGTATAGGAAAGGAAGAAGTCAAATTATTATTTGCACGTGACGTGATCCTCTATATATGACTCAAAAATCCATCAAAAGACTCTCAGATTAGTAACCAAATTCAGTAACGTAGCAGGATACAAAATCAGCACACAAAAATCAATAGCCTTTAGTACACTAATAATGAACCCACTGAGAAAAAATTGGGAAAAAATACCATTCATAAAAGCATGAAAAATAATTAAGTACTCAGAAATTAACTTGACTAAGAGAGTAAAGACTTCTACAGTGAAAACTACAGTACTCTGAAAAAGAAAAAGAGAACATCAGAAAATGCAAAGATACTCACTGTTCTTGGATAAGCAAAACCAATATAGTCAAAATGGTCATAGTTCTAAAGCTTGTACACAGATTTAATGCAACTTCAATCAAAATACCAGCAGCATTCTTCATGGAATGAAGAATGGAGAAAACAATCCTAAAATTCATATGGAACCAGAAGACCCAAAATAGCAAAATCAAGCCTGGATAACAAGAGCAATATAAGGGGCATCACAATCCCAGATTTAAAGTTATATTACATGCCTGGCAAGTGCAAGGTGGTGAGTTCGGTTCCCGGTATTGGAGAAAAACCAAAAAAATAAAAAAATAAAAATAAAAATAAAGTTATATTACAAATCTGCAGTGATTTTTTTCAAAAAAGCATGGTACTGGCACAGAAAACAGGATCAATGGAACAAAACAGAGGATGCAGAAATAACCCCAAGGGTATTGAACTATTTGATCTTTCACAATGGGGCCAAAAACACACAGCGGAGGCAAGATAGCCTCTTTAACAAATATTAGGAAAACCATCTACCCATATGGGGAAGCTTGAATCTAGACCCATACCTCTCACCATGTATTAAACTAACATCAAAATGGATCAAAGAACTACATGTTAAAATAGAAACACTTAACCAGATGAATGCTAATACAGGTAAAACTCTTGAAGACGTAAGTGTAGGCAAGGACTTTCTGAGCAGGACCCCAGTTGCTCAGAAAATAGTACTAAGAAACAATAAATGGGATGATACCAAATTTAAAACGTTTTGCACAGCAAAAGAAACAACCAACAGAGTAAAGAGACAACCTACAGAATGGGAAAACATTTTTGCCAGCAACTCTCCAGACAGAGAGCTAATATCTGGAATATACAAATAACTTAAAAAAATAGACCACCCCAAAACTACAGACAATCAAAAATAGGCAAGTGAAATGAATAGACGCTTTCAGAAGTAGTACAAATGGCCAATAACTACATGAAGAAATGCTCAACATCACTGGCCAGTAGAGAAATGCAGATGAAAACAACACTGAGATTCCACCTCGCCCCAGAAAAATTGGCCATCACCAAGAAATCAACTGACAATAAGTGCTGGAGACGCTGCAGGGAAAAAGGAGCCCTTCTACCTTGTGGGTGGGTGAACTACTCAGCCATTACAGAAATGTGTGGAGACTCCTCAAAAGCTAAAACCAGCAATTCCACTTGACCTTCTGCTCCCCTTCTACGTATCTCCTTGAAAAAGTTAAAAAGACATCATATTACAGTGATATATACATACCCATGTTTAGAGCAGCACAATTTATAAGAGCCAAATCTTGATCTTGGAATGAAGTATGTTATGTACATATACCTACTGCACACAAAGAGTATAAGCATTACGTACTAATTAAAAAAGAAGTGGTTTGCAAACCATTAGAAGATCCACCTGGAATACAAAAGAATCATTTGCTTTCTTGTCATAAAATAGATCTATATTATCTCAAAACAACTGAATAATTATTGCAGACTAATTCTACATCAAAGACTCTTTGATTTTTCAAGTAATCAATGAGCAAGATACAAGCCCAATATCAAAGTATTCAGTTTTTTGGATTTAAGTCATGTAAGAATTATAACACAAAATAACCGACTGTAACCACATACAGGATAGAGAAAAAGGCATGGAACAGTTTTAGGGTTTTGGTTTACTTAACGCTCGCAGAAAGGTCTATTTGTGAAAAGATAACGCATATCCTTCAAACCTTCCCTGGTGCCATGCAATATGGACAATGACTTATTCACTTAGAACAATGAACTATTTCCAAAAAGCCCACAAGTTGTATTGATGTGGCTTAGAAAAGATTGCCTCCTTAATACCTATGTTGCATTAACATGGAGTCATTTGTCTTCACAGAAAACGCGGAGGACACAAGATATCTGCATTTTGGCAAGAAGGCAATTTAAAAGTTAATTCACAGTCACAGACTATCAAGGACCAGCTCAGATGGGGCATTAACTGAGAACGAGCCGAAGGTGGACCGTCACCATGAGGAGGTGTGCTGAAAGAGACTGGGGCTTGTCTAAGCCAGACTTCCGGAAAACAGGTCTATTACTCACTGTCTCACTTTTTCTCCTAAAATTAGGTCATTAATTAATCAACAGACATTTATTAGACATATTTCTCCCACATGTTTTCACAGTATGGTCTTTAGAATCAGATCAAGACCATCCTAAGACTGATTTAGGATTCTTCACGTCTCACTGCCAGTAAGATCATGCAAATATAGGAAGGAAAAATACCGAAAACTCAGGTTGATTGTGCCAGGGCATTAGGAACTGCCTGCCTGGATAACTGGTAGTTGATTTTCCTCGTTCCCCTTCCATGGACAATTGCTTTGGACAGCCGTGTTCCCGTGTTTGTGTCTTCTCGGTTCTCTTTGGATGTCACCAGCATCTCCTTCACTGCAAGGCAGCTGGCACCTCCCCACCTAATCTTTCCTTGGTTAACTTCATCACTTTTCTTTCCACCCTTCCTTAAGCAGATGAGGAAAAAATGAATGTTTCTAAGCCTTCAAAAGAGTAAAGTTTAAGAGAGGCCAAGTAATGACTCAGTATCATTAACTATCAACAAAATTCAAAGGCACAATAGGGCTCCAGGTCTCCTAATCCTCACTGTACCAAGATCAAAGAATGACTTTTATTTTCACAGTGTTCACATAACATGTTCGCATGGTAACTACAATTCAACTGTTGCTAGGACCTACCATTTTTCTTCTAATTGACAAAAAAATGTAGGCAGTTGCTTTTTTTAAAGAGAAAAAAATAACAAAACAACAACAAAGGCAAAAACAAAACAACACAAAAACAATAAAAATGATACAGGAGGTAGGTTCTTGAAAGATGTGTTTATTACTAATGAAAATAGCACTATTATATATTTTAAAAAGAAAGATCCTTTCATATACATCAATGCTTAAAACTTTTATTTCTAATGTAAGATTAGAAAATTTCAACATTATAGTACAGTAAGATGAATTTTTTTGATCCCATTTTGGACAGATATCCTTATAAACAATATGGAAAAAAAAAAACCCTTTGTTAAACACACCCCATACTGAACATACATGACGGTAATGTACACTACTGCTAAAGAATCATCACATAGCCCTGATATATCATTATACATGTATTCTCTGATATCATGTCTTCTTCCTACAAATGCCTTTAATATCTAAAGAAATAATTCAGTGCTGGGGATGTAGCTCAGCAGCTCTAGCACTGACCAGCAAGCACAAGGTCATGAGTTCGATTCCCAGTACCCAAAAAATAAAGAAGTAATTCAATATAAGAGGAAAAATTAGGATGCAAAATTCTTTAACATAGGCTGTAGTTATAACTGTATGGTACAGAGGAATGTTTCAACCTGTGTTTTGCTATCCTGAGAGGAATGGTTTATCCACATTTTGTTAATTCATAAGAGTAGTGTATGGTTTTACAAAATGCAAGCGTAAAGGATCCAGGTGAGCTCTTTACCTCATCAATTACATTACGTTACCCCCCACCTTCTCACACCAAGCCAGGATCCTTCGTGGAACACAGAGCAAAAGACTTGAGACTTGTGACCTGCACAGCATTTTTCTGCATTTATTACACACCCGGCAATAGAACAAGCTTGGATCTGACTCACAGCAGCTGGACTGCAAAGGAAGAAGCCAGCCGCACCCATTTCTACTGGGAATTGTTAGAAAGATTTTAGAAAAAAATCTGGCCCATATTTTTCTTGGCTAAAATTCAGTAAAGTTATTCTCCAAAATCAGCTGTTTCCTGTGGAATAAACACATTGTTTTCTTTTCCCATTGCAAAATGTAAATCCAATTCAGGGACTGTTGGCGTCAGGTACCCACTGGTAAAAACATGAAAATAACACAAAGACACCAGCTGCCTAAAAATCATGAAGTGCAAGACAAACTTATTTTTAAAAAATATTCAAACAAGTAACTCATTCAGATAGCATGCTTAAGCCAAGGTATTTTTAGAGTCTACAAAGAACACTTGTGCAGTTTTCATCATTTTGTCGGAAGCAGTGCTAAGTCAGGGTGGTTCCACAACACTGTAATTCACTGCGTGGCCACAGAAAGGAAAGCGAGGAACGGGAGGAGAGAGGGGAGCGGGAGCCACGCATGGAGACCCTGCGGAAGGAACAGCCCCGGTGGGAACAAACTGCGGAAGCCTATGCCCACCTTGCCGTGTAAAGTAAATGGGACGTTAGGCCACACAAATGTGAATGACTATCCTTAAACCACTGCAATGGTGAAAACACAGCCCTGTTTATCAACTAAACTCTCCTTTATCCAGAACCTGTGAAAACAGAAATGTGCAGTTCAGTGAAAGAGTACATCTTCAAGACTTTGCAGTAACTTCTGAATCCAGAAAAATAAAAGGGGTTCTTCCCCATGCACTTTTAGTACTTAACTGTATTTTATTGTTTTCAAATAAGGTGACAGTCTTATTGAATATTATATTGCTAAGTTAATGGCGATTTTCTAACATTCACAACATTTCATCCCTTAGCCGCACAACCTAAGAGAGCGCTCAGGCGACCAGGTATCGCCGGATTCCTTTGGGGAAAGCTCTCGCAGGAAGCAGCTCTTCGGCCCAGTTTTCTGCATCAGACTGAGAGCTCCTCTGGTCCTGTGCTCATCGCAGTGGCCCTGCACTGGGAAGCTGCCTGCCTCAGGCTTTCCCACCGCAGTTCAGACACCACAGAGGTAGAACGGAAGCCTCTACCCCTAAACTGAGAGGCCTTCTATTCTGGGCTGGTTTAGGCATTCTTTCACTCCTCCCTTTCACTGGTGTGAAGCAGACATGCACACAGCATGGATAAAGCTTAAGGAAAAGGACATTAGAGAAAGTGATGTTTGTTAGAAATCCCCAATTCCCATTTGACTGCTTGGCTCCCAGAAACCAATGGCTTAGTTTGTGCTCCTGCAAAGTGTTTCGCTTCCTGCTCTATGGACCTTCACGCCCATCTAGAATTCTTCCAGCAAGCACTCCTTCAAAGAGTTTCCATCTACGGTTAATTGGTGACGTTAAATATTTTTATCTAACACATATGCAGTTAGGAAAGAAACACAATCTTAGGCAGAAATCTTTGGAAATTCAACAAATAAAATCAAGCACTTAATAGTGACAAATACCTTTAGCACTGGTAATGCTTTAAAGATAGTTATCAAGTTAGTCCAGAAGAAAGCATCCCAGCAGTAGCACAGCTGTGCCTAGGTTGAACTCACTGAGCACCCAGTAGGTGCGCAGGGAATAAAAGTCAGTGCTGAGATAAAGGAGCTACACTGATACACAGAGAACCTCCTCCCCAGTATGTACTTTGCAAAATACCTGGATGCCCTCAAGGTGTTCGTGTGGCTCACCATGCCTATAACCAACCTCACCATCGAGTTAATGCTGATCTCATAAATTGGCAGTCATCAAGCTGAGTAAAAAAGCACACGCAGTATTGTACTTTATGACCACTCTATACCTGGTAATTATATCTCATCAGAAATAAACCAAATGTTCAAGACTGTTTTTGGCAAACATGGAGGTGTCCAACATAAAATGAACCTATCGCCTATGAATTCGCTATTAATAGAGATAATTATTTGCCCTCCCTGTCCTCACTTGAAAAACCCTACAGTACAAAATGAACATTTCCATGTTCAGTCAAAATTTATGTTATGGACTTTCCCAACCTTTACAATCTTAAGAATATTTTAACTCATTTTATGAGTAAAAGTCTCATCCTATTTTGTATAAGCAGAGAGTATTTTGGATAGGAGGTATGATACAAAGGAGAAACAATGAAGATGAACTGATCAACACTACATGCTATTTTCAAAATTAATGTACCAATAACTACAGAAAAACCAAGATTTTCCCAAGATATTTTTCTAGCTCAGAATGAGAGAAAGCTATCAGTACTGACTCAGACACCAGTAAAGGGGCGGAGCCTGCTCAGTGCCGCGGCCTTGATCTGCACCCACTCCCTCACTCCTGTCGTGGTTAAACTGGCTCTCAGACTAATGGGAACCATCTAAACCTTAGACATCTGTATTAGTCCTGAAAGTAAAAAAAAAAAAAAAAAAACAGGATTTTTATACAATTATAGTAATAATATTATTTTCTTGATTAATACACTCAGGAAATCCAAAAGTTTAGTAGAAGCATCAAACGCAAGCCTCAGTCTATGCTGCAGCAAAAAAGGATTCTTCTTTCTTTAGCAGTTTGTTTTAAAAAGTAACATTTTATTTAGATGAATGTCTGACTTTAAACTATATTAAAGTTATTTCAAAGGCTTCCCCTATCACAGCTCAATAACAAAGATGATACAAAATCCTGACTACCAAGCCTGACTTCTCCTTGCAGTAGTCTCACCTTGTTTTCCTACTGGGAAACCGGAGGCACAGTTCTTAGCAGATACTTTCAGAGATTCAGAAGCAAAAGCAATTGCAGTCTGAACTCCCAGGTGTGGGTTTTTTCTTAATACTTTCACGAACTCATGTAGTTCTGAATTTCTTTAAACACAATCCTTGGTCTTTATAGAAGTAAAAATTGCCAAATTTCTTAGTACATTCTGAAAATTTAAGGTAGGACAAATGTATGCTCCACATTTATTTACTTTTTTAATAGAAAAGTCTTCTTCCAACAATGTTCAAAAATCCAGATTAATTTTATGGTGTGAGTAACAAGGGGTCTCCATCTTCTCCAGGCTTCTAATCGGTGTCAGAATAGGTTCTTGGGTTAAAGTTCTTCCCTGACATGAAAAAAAAACAGAAAGCAATCCATTGGAAGAGAAAGAATATACTGCAGTACATTTTTGTTGTACTATATCACCAAGCTACATTTCTAAAATCACCAATGCATCCTATGCTCTTTCTCTGAAGGAAGATTTTTCTGAATTATGCCAAATCAAAAAAGAAACATACAAACCAAACCCTTTGTAATACTCATGTAATGCTTTGATTGAATACTAAATTAAGGCCATGAATATTTTCTTGGGCTTGGTGCATAAGAGCTCTGACACTAAATGGAAACTGAAAATGTTATGTGGATTATGGGCCTAATTTTTTTCAGTAAAGTCTTCCCTCTGTGAAGATCCCTCTAAAGTTACAGTGTCTTGTACTCTTTCATCCTATTTGTTTCATTAGATTTTCTTCTTTAAACCTTCTTTGTTTCATGGATTTTTTTTTGCATATTTTAATGTAAGGTACTTCATCAAAAGAACTGACAGCATTCTGCAAAGCTGGCAACACCTCCTGGAAGCCAGGTCAGAGTTTTAGAGGCATCTCCATCATGCATATGGAATTTTTAAAGCATCTTACTCAGTTTCTTTAGCTGGAAATTTGTTCCCTGTACCAGAAAGGCACCCTGAGGGAAGGGGCTGCCTACCAGAGAAAAGGTATTTGAAACAAAGGGGAGGAGGCTTTGTTCAAGGGGGTGGGTGCTATCCTGACCCTTCATCCACTTCCGTTACAAACACACATGAATTGCTCCAGTAGAAGATGCCTGGATGAGACCCACCCATCAGCAAACACTTCTGTAAGGATGGCAGTAAGACCGAATATTACCACTAAATTGTGCTTTCACCCACTACGCGCAACTAATGTCCACAGTGGTGTCTTTATAAGACAGTTTTTTTGGAACCTAAGAATTGCTGTGAGGGGCTGGGGGTTTAGCTCAGCGGCACAGCGCCTGCCTGGCAAGAGCAAGGTCATGAGTTCGGTTCCCGGTACCGGAAAAAAAAACAAAAAAATTTAAAAAAAAAATTTAAAAAAAAATTAAAAATATAGAATTTCTGTGAGTGCTGGGGAAAATGGTCACAATGGCCCCTGTACAAAATGGTTTGTGTTTATAACCTAAAGTTCACTGTGCATTCTGGAAAACAAAGAAAAAGTTACCGATACTTGCCTGAAATGCATGATGAGTGAACGAATGGGAAGAGACAGAATAAAATTACAATAAAGTTGACAGAGTGAAGAGACACTCTTAACAAGGCCTGTAATTCAAGACAGACTGCACAGTATTCATGACAAATGTTTTATATCATTGGGTTATAGGTGAGATCCATGGTAACAAGAAAGAAACTACGGCACAGCCCCGGCTCTCTAGGTCAAAACAGGGTCAGGGTCTAAAGCCTCCAGCCTTGCTATCACTATCATCTTAAGTACATCACTTCACTGCTCCAAAGCTTTCTCTCCTCATATAAGAAATATCCAATTTACAAAGCCATGATAAGAAATAAATGAGATTACAGGAATACTTCAATTCACAAATCCTCTGTTTGCAAACAATTTGGCTCACAAACAAAAGCATTCAGCAAACTTTTCCTCCCTTTCATAAACTCTGCATGGATGACAAACACAATCACGGTCATCTTTCCCACACAAGTACAAACGCAGCCGTCTTCCTCAACATTGTAAAACAAATTAAGTTCATAAACCGAGGTACCACCCTGTCTGTGTGGTCAGTCATAAACTTTAAAGAAGTCAACAAATGTCGGGTATCACCAAGGCCCAGCCCGTGGACACGAGTCACTTGCTCACGCTGGTGGCACTGCTCCAGGACGAGCTGCTGGGGCGTGTGTGGGAGGAGCGTGCAGATGCTTACATTTGGTGCTCTCTCACAAAAGCTGCAAACTCAGGGTCACTGGCATAGAGCTCCAAAACTCTCATTCTTTCTTGAATTTCCTTAAAAAAAAAAAAAAAAAAAAAAAAGAGGCCCCATGTGGCATTAGAACACTCTCAACAGTCTTTTCAAAGGCATTGTAACTGTCATAAGGAAGTGTGAGTTTCTGGGTTTCCCAAGGGTATGTCCTAAGGAAGAACTGCTTTCAGGTTCTGTATGTGCTGCTCCAGATATTACACATACTGCTCTAACTCCGACACAAATTTCTAAGAGAGAAAGGAAGGAAAAAGGGAGTGTCTGTTCATAATGGAAAGAAGAGTCCCTAGGTGGGGAATAAATTACAGCTCAACATCGAATAACTTCTACATCCACACTGAGAAACATCATGAGGTAAGAACCAATCATGAAATATTTTTCATTTCCTCTTGTACGCATTCATTCCCACCTGCACACACACACACACACACACACACACACACGCACATGCACAAGCACATGCACACATGTGCACACATACGCAATAGCAGCAGCAGCAGCAGCACAACCAAAATGCAGTTTCGTACCTCTTTGGAAAGGCCACTGCTCTCGTACATCTGTCTGATTTCCTCTCTACTCAGGCCACCAATCACTTCTTCGCCGGCAGAGCTGCAGAAGGGGCGCTGGGGATAGGGCTCCTCGTACTGCTCACATCCAGCCGTGTGGCTGTCAAATGCAGGGTTGTGCTTTACCGCGTTCTCCATGGAGGAAAGGCTGTCGGGCTGCCTGCTGAAGTCACAGAAAGATATCATTGATTCAGGTTCTTCTTTGGACGCTCAGTTACTTGGAAGACTATGTGGGACAAGGTTTCTACTGGGAAAGGGAAAGAAGAAAAATGGACACAGCTGTGAAAAATTTCCACATCAACCTCAAAAATTACTTATTGGGTTCATTATTGTCTTCTCAACTGTATGCAAGAATCTGTGGAATTTTTCCTTGTTTCATTCATCTTATTTTCCCACAATGCCTCAGTAAATGTTAGTTGTGAAATATGTCTTCCAGTGGACAATTTTGTATTCAACAAATGCAGCTCCATCATTCCCAGAGATATACGTATCAAAAATCAGTATGTAATCACATAGAGAAAACAGAACTCTTCTACATGGCTGGGGGAAGTGTACCTAGTGCAACCATGATGGAAATCAGTATGGAGATTCCTCAAAAAGGGAAAAAATAGAAATCCATTCAACTCAGCTATTTCCCTTCTATGAATCTTCCCAAAAGATTAATGCTATTGTTTTAGAGTGATACATGCATACCCGTGTTTATACCAGCACAATTCACAATAACTAAATCTTGGAAACCTATATATCCAATGGGTAAATGGATAAAGTGTAGTATTTATACACAATGGAATACTACCGTGTCACAAAGAAGGGTACACAAGCTATTTGTAGGAAATCGATGCACCTTGAGACCATAATGTGAAGTGAAATAAACCAGACACACAAGCTTAAATATCACATGGTTTCTCTTATGTGAGAAATCCAAAATATAAACAAAGAGCAAAATAAATGATAGCAGGAAAACAGGAAGATAGATCTGTTATAGAAGGGAAGGGGACCGAAAGATACTGAGGGGGAAGAGAGAGGAAAGAAAAGGAATGACAAACTAATTTAGATGTGTTATGTAATCATTATGTCCTGAAAACATGCACTTATAAAAAAAAATTAAAATGGGGGCTGGATCCCTTCCCACAGTGGCATAGAGGCCCACGTAGGCCTCCCTTGAGCTGGCTCATGGTTCCCTCAACCCGCTGGCAAGAGTTCCAACGACTCCAGCAAATGTCTGTTCTTCTGCTCCACTAAATACCTCAACTGTCACTAAAACTTCTAAGACTCCACTCCCCAGGCAGAGCCAGTTCAGTCCTCACCGAGGCTCCCCAGCATCCCACCCATGTGCTGCTCGTGCTTCTTCCCAACGTGACACCGCACTAAACGCAAGGGCCTTACTTCTACTCACTTTACCGCCCTCCCCTCCGCCCAGAGCTTTGCCCAGTGTAGGGTACATGGTGAGCACTAACAAGTGAGCACAGAACATTTTGTTCCATCGGAGATTTCCTTTCCCCATTCACCTGAATGGCCTCCCTCCTCCTCTCCTGCCAGGTGGAGCCTGAAGAGCTCTGACCAGGAAGAAGACGACGACAGAACAGACCAGGAGCAGCCCAACCACAGAGGCTACGGTGATGCCGACGACCAGAGGCTCGGACACGAACTCCTCGCAGTGCTCGCCTCGGTACCACCAGTTCTCACCCACGCGGCATCTGCAACGAGCGGTCACCAAAGCAAGGTCTGAATCGTTCTGCTCATGGTGACAATGCACAGCAGAGCCTCCACGGGGACTGGGAAAGTAGAGAGATAAATGCTGACCGTGGGAAGATGTGGCCAATGATACAGCATTTGCCTAAGCGTGGGCAAAGCCCTGGGTTGGATCCCTAGCACTGGGGGAAGAAAACCTAGATATACGGGTTACAGGAGCACAGGCTCTAAGGCTGTGCCTAATGCCTGGTAGGTCTGATAGATCCTCAGTGATGTCTCTAAAGGACCAAATAAAAATTAAATAGATTTAAATATTCCATTTATTTTTCCACTGAACGTTCCGTTATTATGGAATACTACTATTATTTAACATAAATAATAATTCAATCGTTATGTTTCAGTAGACAAACATTCCATTTTTTTATCATTCCTCTTTATTTATGGGTAATGAGAAGGAGGCACAGGAAGGGAGTGAGCGGCACTGGGTGACACAGTCAGTCGGTAACAGCTGGATCCAGAACACGGGTCTTCCAGCCCGCGCTCCTGTTACCGCGCTAAAGAAACCCTTGAAACCCTGAGGCGACGCGCTTGTGTGGAAAATGTCTTCAACACCCACAGCAGCAAGGAGGTCCCTGCTTTGCAAAACGACAGCTTCTCTGGATGCCAAGAAACTGTTTTTCCTCTTAGTGTTCTAGCTAACCCTTGCACTTTCAACAAAAGTGTCTGAATCAGTTACACTTATCTTCTCTGTTTTGGGTATTCATGCCAACGTCTGCCACTTCTGACACGCACAAGCTGTCCTGATGTGTGTCACTCCTGTGTGTTCTCAGCATCTGCTCCTCTCACAGCTGCGTAGCTGCGCTTGTGTGTGGTTGGCAGGTTACTTTGTTTGGCTTTGTTTAAGACAGGCAGGCAGCGAAGGGTGGTCAGACTAACCAAATATGTGCATCTGCGGTGTTCTCATTGGTTCCACCCTGAATAAAGGGGTCTCGGGTGTACTTAAAGGAAGATGTATTTGTTATCACTTTGAGACCTTTGAATGCTCCTTGTTTTACTTTATTTTGATGACTCAGCAGGACAGCAAGGAGCTCAGAGGCATTAAGAATACAATCAAGCAGAACAATGTCTGTTTTTACCTTCAGGTATAAAGTCTTAATTTTATGTCTAAACCTCATGTGAACACCAGTGTCTTTATCATCACCACTAAAAACCGTAACACATAAGTCTCTAGTTATACCAAGTACTCTGCATAGGATATATTTAGACAAATTTTTGATAGCTGTCTAATAGCATAAAATAACAAAATGAAAAGGATAAATACTAAGGCCTATTCAAATGACCCAGTCTTCACATCAAAATTAGATGGTATCTACCTATTACCTACATAATAAATATAATGATTTCCCTAAAATGATAGGTATTAACCTGTTATTTAGAAGAAGTATCAAAAAGGCAAACATCTAAAGTTACAACATACCTACAAATGGCCCCATGCCCAGGCATAATGTCACACTTTCCATCGTTCAAGCAGAAGTCAGGCTGCAGGTCACAGAGACTCTGACAGGGTAAGTCGTCCACACTCTGGTACCCAGGGTAGCATCTGCACTTTGCTTCTCCACTCCACGGGTTGACTAGACACTCAGAAAATTCATTGCAGGCCTGAAACTTGCAAGGGTTGGCTTCATCACCTTAAATACCAAACAAGTCAAAGAATGATGCAAAGAAAGGCAAAAAATATGATTCAGATATTACCAAAATAGATTGGTAAGTCATGTCAAATTTCTGTGAAACTCAGGGTTAAGTCATAAAGCCCTATGGCCCTTGCAACCACTAAGGTTAGGTCAAAAACCTTAAAATCAGTCTTGTGTAGCTGTAGATCAGAATTGAACAGTTTTCACGCACTAATCATTTCCATAGCCTATCCTGCTGTAGTCTACCCCAGTCTGCATACACTGACACATGCCTGCCCCACACTGAGACCACTGATGAGGAGAGAGGCCCCGAGAAGAACTGATAAGGAGCCTCAGGGGTGGGTAGAGCCAAATAACAGCAGCCTTAGAATTCATCTAGATTTGTGGAAGCCAAAGTTAGAAAAATAAACCATTCCAGTATCACTTCAAATCATGCCCACTACTGAATATTTTGGCTTTAGTAAAGGCATGGGGTAAGGGAAAATGACAAAAAAATTAACTAGGGCAATAGCCAGTCACAACTGACACAAGACACAGACCGTAGATGGGCTTCCAACACTGGCATGATTCCATCACATGCTCTTCCATCACATGCAAAATGGGAATCTGAATGGCTAACAGGCAGATGATGATGTAGATGCTGAAAAGGACCCAATAGGTGGAAATGATCCACTGACTTGTTTATAATAAAAAGTGCAAAGTTTAGCTTGAAAACTAAAGGGTATTTTTTTAAAAACCCAGTCTAGGCTCTTAGTTTGAAGAAAAATTAACAATGTTTTGAACTGCAACAATTTTCCTTGCTGTTCTAGAGACTGAAGACAAATTTGGACGAGTCCATGGCACACCTAGGATTTAAAGTATCTTGAAAGCTGGTCTCCCTGAAGCCAATGTAGGATTAGAGAAATATATTAGGTCACACAGCATCTCCTACAAGTTCATGTCCACACAGAGCCTGAGAATGTGGCTGAATGTGCAGATGTAATCAAGAAGAAGGTCACACCAGGTTGGAACGGGCCCTAATCTGACGGTTGGTACCCTCACATGCTAGAGGGAAGTCTGGATACAGAGGCAAAGGAGGCTGTCTACAGTCAGAAGCAGATGTTAGAGGGGCACGCAAGAGTGTCCAAAATCGGCAGGAAATACCCAAGCTAGGAAAAGGCAAACAAGGATTCTTCTCTAGAACTTGAGTGGACCATGGCTCTGTCAGCACTTTGATTTTGGACTTCTAGCCTCAAGAACATGAGAAGATAAATTTCCAGTGTGATAAGGTACCCAGTTTATAACACCTTGCTAAAGCAACCTTAGGAAATGAATACGGACAAACACTGCCAAGATGCTCATATAACAAGGAAACACGTATCCAAACGTACTGACAGATGGTTTCCATAGAGAAATGCACGTGAGATTCCACTGTGCCTTCCTAATCTTTATACTCCTGCCTTAGGAATCATTTCACGGTTCTGTAATCAGAAAGTTGTCTGATCTTGACCAAGAAATGAGGAATAGGAATGTACGTAGATATCCTTTGTTGATGGAAGTAAATTTTCTTGGACACTGCATGTGAAAGAAAGGCAACATACAGGTCAGTCCTGCCTTAGCCCACCTTGACATACAATGAATACTTCCTCTGAGAACCATCGACCGCAAGTACACACGTGGTAGGAAAATTCTATTTAAGAACTTTAAAACTCTGTGGCCACTCTGTGTGTGAGCGGATTTGTGTTAGGTTGACATGCAGAACAACTTCAAGGGGAGACATAAACGTAAGACTGAAAATCCAACCAAGGAATCTACATTTTCCACGGATAAAGAAAAAATACAGATATAGCCATGGGGGGGAGGGCCAATGCTGTCCCTATTGCTGCCAGAGACCAAGCCTAATCTTCTAATCGTATACATAAGACTGCGGTTTTTAAGTCTGTGTCCCATCCTGTGAGCTGGCTGACAGAGGACGGCCAGAAGAGCGTGCCTGTGGAAAAGCACCTTCGCAGCTTTATGGAGAAAACAAGGCAGACCTGGAGCGAAGCCTGGGATGAGAGACAGGGATCTAATTTGTAGGATGAATTACACACATTCTGGCTTTCCAGGAGCGGCTCAGCAGAAGCACTGATGAGCCAAGAAAAATGAGAGTGGAGGAAATGTGAAAAAGATCTGTAAAAACAGTTTTATGGCCGCAGTAACATGGTAGCTGGACAGGTCCGGGAGGGAAGTGGGCCGGAGAGAGGTGACCTTGAGAGAGTGGCTGAGGGATTTTAGGGTCGTTACGCCTAACAGCGATATTTTTAAAGCACGTGCTGTGCCTCAGAGAACCTCCCTCGGTATCCTCACATCATCAGCAAGTATCTGCTAGCGGCTGCCTTGTATTAAGGGTGCTTTGGGAAAATTAAACACGGGACTAACATCTACGTTCAGTGAACACAAAAAATAATCACAAGGGTCGAGACGCTCGTGAGATGAAAAACTCAGCAGAAGAAGCTTAGAGCTGTTAAGAGGTATTTAAAGCCTCTTAGAATCCCTAGAGGCGAGGGCTGGGGCGAGACTGACGCAGGGTTTATGCTGTGCATAGGGGGGACTAGCGCCAGGTCACTGAAGGAAACAGTGACCCTACAAGCCTGGGTGACTTCGCGCGCAGCTGGTACGTGAGCTACATAAAAAACTGCAACAAATGCACTCATTTACTGTAGGTCGCTTTAAAAAGAAACATACTAGAGGCTGAGGAGGCACTTAGCTAGCACATGTAAGGTCTTGGGTTGATCCCTAGCACTATCACAAAAAAAAAAAATGAGGTGATAGATTTTTTGTTTTGTCTTGTTTCATTTTGTTTTTTGGAACAGGGTCTCATTCTGTAGCCCACGCTGGCCTTGAGCTCGCTATGTAGCCCAGGATGAACTCAAACTCAGGGGGACCCTCCTGCCTCAGCTTCCTGAGTGCTGGGATTACAGGCGTGCGCCACCACCCCTGGCTGAGAATTATTTTTTGTAAACATTATATAAGTCATAATTGCCTGCATTTGTAGAGCTAATCAAATGCTTTTCTGTATGTTATTGGCTTAACCCTTACACTAGCCTTCCAAAATACACAGGCCAGGTACTCTTATTCCTATATAATATATGAGGGACTAAGGCTCAGAGATAAAGTAATTCATCTAAGGCCACACAAATGATAAATGACAGAGGAGACACAAGAAGCTCGGCCTTCCAAATCGTAATTAATTGCTTCTTCCACTACATCACATGGTAAAGAACGTGCCAAAGCCTCAGAGAACTCAAGTGGCAAGAGATTTGGTGATTGGGGGATCAGCTAAATGATTTTCCTCGCATTCAATGAATAATGGGCCTTCAAGGATTTCAAAGGAAAGAATGTTTGCTTCTTTCCCAGGTAAAAAAACAGAGCTGACTTTCACACCAGTCTGACAGCAAAAGGCACTGGAGAACTATGAACCTAGATTTTCCACCTCACTTCTACTCAAAGCTGCTGTCCTCTGATATGTGGAAGGCAAAACAATAAAATTTCAGGCTTCAACAGTATTTGCTAGACTCAAGCCTTCCAAATAAACACAATGCTTCATTGTAGGTATTTGCAGTATTTCTGAGTCCCTTCTGTGTTCAAAACACTGTACTAAGTCTAGCTAGAAAGTGGTTAATACAATAGACATACTCTCAGTCCCGTGGAAAGCTTAACTGGGAAAAATAGACCTTAAGCAACTATGCACACAAATTAACACTGTAAGTGGTGCTAACGCTGCAGGGGAAAAGAACACGAGGCTACAAGAGATACTCATAAGAAAGACCCAATCTAGATTATGCGGAGACCATGGCAAGTCTTAGGGAAACATTTGAATTGAGGCATAAAGGATGAGCAGGAGTTAGCTACGAGGGGAGTTTAAGACAAATAGCACATTGGCTCAAAGGTACACGCAAAGGCTTTAATGTCACAAAAAGCTTCTGGTATGTAAGGAACAAAAAACAAGCTAGTCTGACTGCAACACAGTGAGCAAAGAGGTCAGTTTCACCGGGTGATACTGGGAAGATCCCGAGGACCAGGCCTTCTGGCTAGTACATCAAGCAGCCGCTGAAACGCTTTAAGCAGCAAAGAGAAATAATCGGATTAATGATTTAGAAAAGGTCCTATGGCTGCTGTCTGGAGAACAGACAGGAGAGGGAATGGGAAAGAAAGTAGGAAAATGGGTCCAAATGAGAATAACACTGACTTGGCTCAAATTACTATTATTTCTCATTTCTTATCTCTTATTTCTTATCTTTTATTTCTTCCCCAGTATCATCCAACGAAACTAGTCCCTTTGGGCACCGTCTTCCCGTCAAAGTAGGCTGCTTTCAGTTCCTCACAGCCCACTGTAGTAGTGCTTACGATAAAGTGAGTCTGGATTTGAGATAGTTTGAATTAATGTAAGTAGTAACTGCAAGTGTGGGATGACAGGAACTATGCCCAGGCTGCTAGTTAAGAAGCTGAGTGGATAAGTCCTCCATTTATGGACATGGAGAAGCTGAGAGAAGGAGCAGATTTAACTGGAGAATGAGGAGATACAGAAAACAGGAGCTCACTCTTGAGTATTTGGTATATTCGGGCTACCCTAGATACATCCAAGTGGAGACTGACTAGCTAGATGACGCCTCTGGAGCTAGGCAGCAAGTTTGATGCACTCACATAGAAAATGTTTAAGAGAGGTATTTACATAAAACTTGATATAATGGGAATGAGTACAAAAATTTTAAAAACATACACAGAGAAGAAGAGAGTAAAGTTTTTGGTCTTCCCATCATAGCAGCACAATTCATAATAGCTAAATTTGAAAGTAGCCTATATATCCATCAACAGATGAATGAATACAGAAAACGAGACTTTTATACACAGTAGACTGCTACTCTGCCATCAGGAAGGAGAAACGTGAATCTTCTGTAGGAAAATGAGTGACCTTAAGATCATAATATTAAGTGAAATGTATCAGACACACAAGCTTAAATGTCACATGGTTTCAAGAAACCTAAAATATAAATAGAGGCAAAATAAAACACAGACAGTAAGAAAGAGGAAGAGAATTTTTATCAAATGGGGAGGGGTCAAGAGATGGAGGGAGGAGGGGTGAGGGGAGAGGGAGGGGTTAAAAAACAAGATCAAGACCCTGTGTAGTGCACCAGCCCCCCACGCGGACAGCAATCATTTTGTATACGCCAGCCTGTATTAATGCAAAATAAAAACTGAAAAAAGGAAATGGAAAATAAGGTTACAGCAAGACTAGATCCCATGGATGGGTAAAACGGAAAGTCTGTGGAAAAACGAGGGAGGTGAACCAGTAAAGATAATATTTGTGAACAAGCTTATGAAAAAAGAACAACACTGATGTGCTTAGAATATTTTACCAGTTATCAAGATGTGGAAAACAGACCTGACATAGTGCTTTTTTCTCTTATGAGTGTTAAATTCATCTTGACTCAATGAAAAAGAAACACAAAAATACTCACTGGATTTTACTAAAAACCCACCAGTGTAGGTGACATCATTACCTGACTCTACGTCAAGGGAGTACTTATCAATGGCCAAGTTCATGGTCTGGTAGGCTGTGGTACAAAAGTCTTCTAGAATCATGTATACAGCATTGTTGACATTTGGAGGGACAGACTTGGCAAACTTCATTCGGCTGTTCACCACAATGCTACCATTTCTGAAGTTCAAAATTTCCAAGTTCTGGAACCCTGTGAGATTTGACTGAAGATAAGGAACCAACTGCAATACATGAAAAATTATAAATTAATTGACAAAGTTTTTCCTTTTGTTCAATATATACCAAAGAAACAAAGAACTCCTTGCCTACTTTTCCTACTTATATTCTATCTACATTCACACTGTTTTTTAAAAACCTATAAATTAGGAATAACATGAAACTATAAATTTAAAATATTATAAGATATTGATCATGTCATGAGAATGTTATGATATCTGAGAACCCCACAGAAGTCAGACAGTTTCCTTTTTGGTTTTTTTTTGGGGGGGGGAGGGGTTTTTTTTTTACTGGTACCGGGAATCAAACTCATGACCTTGTGCTTGCCAAGCAGTTGCTGTCAGACAGTTTTTTTGTATGTTTGTTTGTTTGTTTGTTTTGTTTTGTTTTGGAGTTTTTTTGTTTTGTTGCTGTTGTTGTTTTGTTTTGTTTTTTCCAGTACCGGGACTCCAACTCACAACGTCGCGCTTGTCAGGCAGGCGCTGCACTGCTGAGCTAAATCCCCAGCCACGTGTCAGATAGTTTTTAACACTGGGGGATTTCTTTTCTTTCCTTCACTAACGGATCACAACAGTAAAGGCACGGATACTCACAAACCTGTTCTCACAGTGTTTGCACCTTTACATTTCATTTTAGTTCCAGAATTCATGAAAGTTGATCTCCAGTGTCTAACCTATTCACATCACCTGCATGCCACATTTGTGCTTTCCATTTCTTGAATGCCCCTGTCTTACCCCTCTCCTACCAACTCCCAAGCCATGCTACTATCTCTGTGGGTGGCAAGAAATGAATGCACACAGCAGACCACACTTTCTTGGGCTCAGTCTCAGTGTGCTGGTTAGGACAGACGACTCATATTCATCCCCATGTTTCAACTTTGAGCTTACCAATTCTAAGAATCTTTGCTCCAGGGCTTTATATTCCAAAGAGTTTTTATTAAATAGATCTTCTGAAAATATCATGTTGGTCACTCGGAGGCTGAAGAAAACGACCAAATCTCCTGCCGTCCGGGCGTGACTCGAGTCATCTTTGGTGGGCTGAGCCAAAACAGCCACCTCTGTGGAGCGAAGATTTGTAAACATTTCCACGTAACTACCAACCTTGCCATTTTGCTCTGGGATTAGCTCAGGCTGATAGTAATCCGTGCCTACCCGGTCCAGTTCTAATGAAATATCCTGCACACCCAGAATGACTTCATCCTCCAGCGGGGTGGAGCTTGTGGTCGGAGGCAATTTGGTGGACTGCGTCACGGAAGTTTTCAGCCAGAGTCCGTCACTACTCTGTGGTGTGCTTGCCGATGAGTCTCTGGGCAATTTCCCTAGGGAAGAAGTTCTTGCAGGAGCTATGTCTGATTCTGGAAATATGGTCCGCACAGGCTGCAGATCTGGTTTCACTGCTGAAGTCTTGCCGTCAGACCATTCGTGGCTAGATGACCCTGTAGTTTGCACTACATCCTGGGTTGGGAAGGTAGTCACTTGATCTGTTATATCAGAAGAAGCAGCTGTCAGTAGAAAAGGTGCTTCAGTAACTGAGTGGTAATCACCACTGGGGATCTCTGAAATGTGCTTGGGAAAAGTTAGAGATGTAGAATGAATTACAGACACTGCAAAGATGGACAAGGTAGGTTCCACGAGGGGCTCTCCCTCTGCCAAGTTTGTGGGTTTCTCATCATGCCTATACTTTGAATGCTCAATAGTTTGGTCTGTGTAATCCGTTTCATTATCTATAACAAGTTTCTCATCTATACCCTCAGTTGGCAAAAGTGAATCCTCATCTTCAAGCCATGACCTAGACAGTGGTTCGGTGCTCTTCTTTAATGAAGTCTCACTCCACGGCCAAGAGATCAAATCCACCTTTTGTCCAGACCCAGAACCTAAACCACTCTCAAATATGAACTCTCTTTCCATGGGTGTGTCTGGGAACAAATGGCTTGCTTCTAACTGGTCTTTGACTTCAGAGGTCAAGAAGTCAAAGCCAAAAGGTACAGTTACTTCCTTAGCAAAAAGATCTAAGGTAACAGAAGAGATCAGATCTGGTGAAGATGTCAGGGGCACCCCAGTGTCTTCCATGGACGGTGTTGTTCGTTTTGGCACAAGTTGAATGAATGAACTTGAAGGCACTGGATCCACAGAAAGAAAATCTTCTGCCTCTTCAACATTGGCTAACCCTAAAAATACAATTTTACATCCATTAATCTACAAAGTTGCAAAAATATATTCCTATTTCTTCTGATAAAATCAGTTACCTATTTTTTCTGGTAAGTTAAGAACATTGATGACTTTTATGTCAAGCAAACAAGAAGATACGACAATGTCTTTGTAATGTGAGATAATCATTTGTGAATATAGATTCCCCCATCTCTGAGGATAAGACTTTGACTATTGAAATATTTAATCTTCAAACATTTGATATTTTTATCCATAAAAGTAGGAGACTGGTGATAGCCATGTTGACAACGAAGATTGAACCCAACAGAAAGTTAGAGAGAAATTTTCTTGGAAATTGTGTTTCTCTCTGAATTCTCAATTTCTCTGTTATGCTTATTATTTATCATCCTTCAGATTTACTCAGTTTTCAAAATCCTAAACTGATTATTGAAATCTTTGTTCATCTTCCTCTTTTACGTTTATGTTCCATCACTACATCACATTTATTTTTCCTTTCCTCGACAACATCTAGAAGATCATCTATTTTATTTTCATTTATTTATCTGTTCTGAGGTTGCCCTAGTTCAAGTTCCCTTCTCAATACAACCATAACCTCAGATCTTCAGAGGCAGCCCCCACCATTAACACTATGGGAAGTACTCTTTGATACCATTTGTCTGCCATTTGAATATTCAAGCAAATACTAGTAGTGGCAGTAGTGATTTAATTAAATTATATACTCTTCACGATGACCTTCAGAATATCTATTCATTGTGATCTATTTCACCCCCCAGCTCATTTATTTCTATTTAGCAGTTTGGACTATCCCTTTTCACCAATGAAATCTGATTATTTCCTCCCTCACGTTTCTCCCTAATGAACACCACTGTTTTTATCTTCACCATAGACTCTCTCTCTCTTTAAAACCCTTTTCACTGGATATAATAAAGATGTACGAAAAATCATTAAAATTCCTCACCATTTTCTAATAAGTGAGATCCAGAAGTCCTCTCCTCAGAAGCCACAGGCAAGCCAGTCTGAAGCACTGCTGGGGTGACAGAATGAAGAGTCAAGCTGCTAACCTCTAAAGGCTCCGGGGAAGAACTCAGGCCCACCTCCGAGGGAAAGGCTAATCTAGGTATAGACACTAAATCACCCAAAGGACTCTCTGGCCAGAGCTCCCTGTCAGTGGTCGAGGGAGGACCAGAGCTGAAACCAAGTGGTGCGATATTGCTCGTGGTGGGTTCATCTGCTGAGGGCCATTCAGCTTGAAGGGTATTATCCTGGGGGAAGAAAAAGGCTAAATCATATCATAAATAAAAAGAAAACACGTAAAATACCGCCAGTCTATCCCTCCGCCCCAATTTCTAGGGACAGGAGACAATGTCACATTGAGTGGGCAGGGACAGGGCTCTAAAATCAAACAGATCAGTACCCAACTCCCAATGCTTTCACTTACTACACTAACTGAAAATCTAGAGAAAAACTACGTAACCCCTCAGAACTCACCTGTAGAAGGGGCATGGGTGAAATAACATTTTAAAGACACTGAACAGTGAATTTGCGGGAGAAAATCATTGTTTCCTTTGCTTTGGCTGGTCCATTTCCCTCCGTTTTTAGGTTTAAATGAATTTAAACACACGCAAGTTACTAATATCGCAATTTATTGCCAAAGACCTATGCACACTGCCCACTGCAGGAACAATCAGCCATTTTATTAATCATTCCGAAAGATATGTAATAAATTAATGTCCTCCATTTTGATCAGGAATGTTGCCATATTAAAAGTGGTCTGATAATCTCAGATAAGTAGCCCGGCCTGTGAAACGGCATCAGACTCTCAAAATCCAATTTTTCTAGTTTTGTTCCCAGTGTAACACTAATCTCTAGTTTCAGAAACACAAAAGTAGACACAGCCCCTTGAAGATGCTAATTATTTAGTCTTATGAAAACTAGTCTTTCTAAAAACGTTTAATGATGATGGTGATAGGAAAAATGAGCAGGGTGTTTTGTAGGAGTTTATATATTTTATTCCATGCCTGGCATTAGGCCGGATCTAGCAACTTAAATCCACTGAAGTGAAATCTACTGTACGAGAGAAGAATGCACTGCATGCAAAAAGAAAGCAGAGGCGTCTTCAGATCACCAGATACAAATGCACTGCGGAGAAGGCGAAAGATTTCAGGACAGGAGGTCAGCTCCCTCCCGGGGAATCCACCCCAGAAATGAGCCTGAGAACAGCGAGAGCTAGGCTGAGCCAGGCCAGTGCAGATGACGGGACCCAAGGGCTCCTCCGAGCCTTCCCCCGCGGACTCCAGCATCTGAAGAGAATGTCGTCCTCGGGGCGGACTCAGCCGCACACAACCATGTGCCGCGGACAGTTTCTAAGCGCTGACCCGGCGTGTGCGCCTGCACAGCCTCACGGGGAAGAGACGCACCCCGAGCCGCTTGGCCTGTCTGTCTACAGCGTTCACACCGCCCTGGGTCTTCTAAGAGTGGACCAGAAGGAGAGCAAGAGTTCAGTTCCAGCCAAAGGAGAGACATCGAACTGCAGTCTAGGATATGGAATTAACAGCATTGAGCAAAAAACACCACCTTGCTTTGCCAAAGGCATGGATGCATTACAAGGCCACCTTCTGGTCTACACAAATCTTGTTAGGAGATGGGGCCAAACATACACACACATGTGAAATGTGAACATAAAAAAATATTAAGTTTTAGAGCTAGAAAGACGCTTGAGAATGTAGTCCAATAACGTCTATTTTTTTTTTTTTTTTTTTTTGGAAACAGGGTCTCACTTCGTAGTTGACGCTGGCCTTGAACTCATTATGTAGCCCAGGCTGGCCTTGAGCTCACTATGTAGCCCAGGCTGGCCTTGAACCCACGGTGATCCTCCTGCCTCAGCCTCCCAAGTGCTGGAATCGCAGGCTTGTGCCACCACACCTGGCTCCAATCATGTCTATTAAAGACTAAGAAAAGAAGTTCATAGGAGTGAAATGCCCAGGACCACAAAACACAGAGAAAAACTCAGAATGAGAAGAGGAGCCTCTGGATTTCCTTGTCCCAGCGCTTTCCCACCCGACAGCAGGCTCCGTGCTCAGCGGTCTCTCCAAGTGTGTAACACCAGGCGGCGAACAGCTTCTCGGGGGGAACCAAACCAGCCTTGGCAGTCTATGCTCATCAGACCAACATTTTCCACAGAACTCTAAGACCCGAGGACACAGAGCCGGGAGAGGAGGAGGCTGTTTTTAATACTTAGATGTCTATAGCATGGGAAGATTGTACAGAAAGAAAGTTTCATTCTCTTTTCTTTTTCTAGTATTTAAAATCATATATATACTTTGATATATACATATAATCTCATTTTCATAAAATATATATATAATATATATCATAAAATATATACATAAAATATATATAAATATATATATTTGGAGGAAATTAAAGCCATCTGTTCAATACCAAACTCTATTCTTCAAAAAAATACTGTGATGGTACCATTTCAGTGAATTAATGTTTTTCCCTCTTAATTTTCTAAACCTGCTTCTGGCATCTGAATCACTTATTTGTTTAGAAGTCTACTCCCAGACTGGAAACTTCTGGTCAGTGGGGCCCCACCTTATACGTCTTTGTTTTCCCAGTACTTGGCATATGAAAAGCACAAAATAAATATATCTGAGTGAACGCAGGACACCAAATGAATGTCCTCTGATGTCAGTATTCCTTTAACCTTTTTTCTCCAACATGGAACTCAGTGAAAAGCTTATTACCCGTGATTCCACATTTCTAAACTGAGCTGCTCTGTAACAAGGTAGAAGAAATGGCTGTGTGGATCAGGGCTTAAATGAATTTAGGAAGGTTTTCCAAATTTTCATTGCTTGGAAAATGCCAAGAAACAAAAATTTCAAGCAGCTGATACGAGATGAACAGAAGTCCAAAGAGAGCAGGTGAGAAGCAGCCCCGCCCCGCGTCTGACAGCGAGCCTCCGCTCACTGCACACAGGACGTCCCTAGCGCTGCGGCTGCCCGCGTCACCCTTGTTGCTCTAACTGCTCTTGAGGAAGTCGTGTTCTGTTCTAGTGGAGGTTTCCCTGTAAGGGAAGTGGGAAGTAAAAATGTAGTCGCGAAAGCAGAATTCGTAGTCGAGTTGGGGGGTGAAAACAAACATGGAAATTCATTCAATGCTGTTTATGTGCAAACAGGAATGTTTTCAAACCTGTTTAAAAAGAGACCTAACAGTCCTTTCATTGCTGAGCTAGTTGGTACTTTTACTCTTCTTTCCCTCAGTTTCTTTTCCTTTCTTTCTTTCTTTTTTTTATTTTAAAGAGAAAAATAAAGCTGATACACAATTCTACATGCTTTGGTGGCTAAACTTTCTTCAGTATGCTCTTCAATATAATTCTCGTGCTTTCAGTAAAAATGTACACACCGTGTACACTGTACCCATGTAACTCGAATCGCCGTCTTGTCTTCACTATAGAAACTACTAGGGTAGCCGAGGAAACAACTTGGTGGGCACTTACACCTTAATTATCACCAAACAAGTATGAATAAGCTTCCTACTGTACGTGGTCTGGCAACGTAGACTTCATTCAACCGCTACGGAAGGTTTAAATTTTCTGAACCAGCACTTGGTACACAAGAGCTGACAGCTCTGAGTAATGTTCCAGGTGTGATGCAAGGAAATATTTGAAATGGGGACAGCTCGGGAAAGTTACGACAGCAAAGCAAGCAGGCGAGGAGACAAAGGACAGAGCATAAGCGACCGGGTCCAGGCATAAAACACAGAAACGCACCAGGACAGATGGTGGTGTGGTCTGAAGACTTGAACTTTGGGTGTTCCAAACGAGGTCTTCATTTTCGGGAAGCAAAACTCCTCTCACTGAGGAAAGAACAACATTAAAGGGCATTTTTTAGCTAAGACACTATTGTACTTGAGGTGCAGAGAGAATTAAAAACCAAGCCCTTTCTTTTTACTGGACTAGATGTTAGCAGAATATCTGAGGCACATTTGCTTAGAAAATGCTAGTGTTGTTTGTAACTCTGTATTGTCTGTACTGTTCTTTTGCTATTTTGTAAAAGGTTGCCTGTCTGTTAACGTTTTCCTCCTTTTATTTTTAAAATAAAAAAAGAAAAGAAAATGCTAGTGTTGTTCAGTTATTTTACTTATATTAGTACAACCTGATTGGATTATAAGAATCCAACACAAAGCAAAGATTCTTAAAGACTGTCCCACTTAGGACACTCCAATATTATTTCCTTTTCTCTCTCAAGTCAATTTTCACTCTTTTTCCAGATTCCCATGAAATAGTTTCAAAATGATTCTTTTTCATTTTAAGCAAAAAAAGTTTAAATAGATAGCTTTAAATTTTTTGGTAAATGCAAGAATAATAAAAAACATGCAAAATGATTTTTATTTTAGGAGAAAGTGTCTTTGAAAAATAGGCTAGGACACCAATATCTTCATTGATGTAATAATATTAAACAGCAATTAAAAAGTAGATTGCATGAGCAATGTAGTTGAGGATAGCAATATGCAATGTAACAACCACGGTTGATTTGTATTAATTTGTCTTGAGACCCTGGATCACTTTGAATGCTATTGCTTTGATTTGTTTTATGTTCGTGATACTGGTATGCTGCTACTGTTCTATTTTTTGGTTTGTTTGTTTCTCATGTACTACTCTCTTTAAAATAAAAAAAGAAGTAGATTGCATAATTTAATTCAACAAAGATTTACTGAAACTTTGGTTGTTACCACAGACTTTGCCCATGTGAAATTATAAATGCTAATAAAGCAAAATTTCTGTTAGGAAGCATTGCCTATGTCAGAGGAATAAATAAACACAAATTAGAAAACATAAAATAATGTGAGGGGCATATATAATACATGTGCCAAAGACGAAGAAGCAATTAATTTTGCCTTAAGGGGAGTAAGAATTGATAAAAGATAAAAAGAAGGGACTGCTGGAAGTGTGGCCTGGGGTATGCTTCTAAAATAGGGGCAGGAACTATTCACCTGTTCCCCCTAGACTGACAGGGAAAAACCAAAAGTCAAAACTCCTATCTACATATTTTCCAAAACTCTTTCTAGCTGTGTGTATAATTATCTTCTCTTCTACAGAAAATAAGCTCCCAAGATCAAGGATGAACATATCTTCTGAGAATGATGATCAAGTGACCTAGAAAACTCCAGCCCCATTCAGAACTCTGAAGTTGGTATGACAATAGAAATGTACTTTAGGAACAAAATTCTGAATAATTAAAACACACATTTGATGAGAAATCAAGCCACCAACTGGCACGGTCAGTATTGGGTATCAGAGCTTTTGTCGAATTTGATTACAAATTCGGAGAGTTGATGACCTCTTTTTTAGAAAGCCTTTCAGGAAGTACCTCTACCTCTAGGCTCCATGAAAGGGAAGCTCTTGCAGTGGTATTTGTAAATTCAGTTTCCTGAACAAGCTCACTTTGCCTACCATATACATTAATCGTCACGCAATTTTCTCCTCACCTTGGCTACTGACCTTGGTGTCTACACCCTGTACTCAGTTCTGTTTGTTTTGATTTTGGTCCCTTTGAGACAGGGTTTTGGTATGCAGTTCAGGCTATAGCCCAGGCTGGCCTCAGACTCATGGCCATCCTCCTGCCTCGGCCTCCCAAGTGCTGGAATTACAGGCGTGCGCCACCAAGCCCCATTTCTCACGCTCAATCTTGCTTCAAGCTCCCTTAGGTTTTGACTTCTTAACTATATCTTTCCTGAGTTTGATCCCAGTGCTCAGCTTCCTCAAGTCTTCTGCCCGATACGCTGCTCCCAGGGTCAGCCCCAAGTTGCAGACGGAAGCTTCTTCCCTGCTCACTATTTCATCTGGTCCAAATATTCCAAGACTCAACGAAGACAAAGGAGTATTATGAGGACGCAAGCCCGGGGCACTCACCACGCTCCAAAATGCAAGTGAGCTCTGTTTTAGGACTAATAGCTTTGTGTCCCTACATCCACCAACACCTTAAAGTCCTCCCCAGCGTACAAAGCTAGAACCACTCTGTGGCCCTGTCTCAGGACGGTGTCAAGTGAAAGAAATATCAACCCAGAAGAAAACATAATTGAAAAGCAATGTGAAGTTTTAGCCAAGCCTAATATTTGTTTTAAAATACTCTCTTGTTTTTTGGGTTTTTTTTTGTTTTTGTTTTTCTTCCGGTACCAGGAATCAAACTCACAACTTTGCGCTTGCCAGGCAGGCACTTTGCCACTGAGCTAAATCCCCAGCCCCTTAAAATATTGTCTTATTAGGAGAATAAGGGATCATATCACACGCAGTAAAATTTTCCTCTTTCTTCCTTTGTCTCTTGTCTGTCTGACACACAACACACATATATGTACACACACATGCACACAAATTACATACGACACACACCATACTACTGCCTGGAAAAGACTTCCTTATCTCTCTAAAACCTGTTTCTCCAAACTGTAGCCCCCTCAGGAACCTTGGTTCCCTAATCTCTCTGTCTCACCTTCTAAAGCTTTTCCATTCTCTTCCGCTAGTAATTTTTCGCCCTTTCTATGTAAATCCAACAAGCTTCTCTAGCTTCTCCAGCATCTATTTTTGCTTGCTTCCTCGCATATCCACACACATGTGCACACACACACACACACACACACACACATTCACACACACACTTATGTCACAGCTGCCTAAAAGGTGTTAAATTAAACTGCATTTGGCATAAGCAAGCTTTGGTACTCACGCATCTAAGCCCTTACATACTGAGCTGCAACCTAACTCGGTAGGTAAACAAAACAAGTACCTAACTTAGGTATTTAGCTCTGTAGTACTGTACCTGAGCATCAGCCAATCACAAGTGAGCACCCATTAAACCAGGTCAGGAAGGCAAAAGCCAGGCTTGAGCCAGTGAACCCATATCCTCCGTATCTTTAACTCACTCGCATTTTCTGCTGCGATTTTCCATTTTCTATCTGTAAATATCATCCAGCCAGAGAAGCCCCAGACTCCTACAGGACCTGTCCTGATTCTCAGGGCTGCCTAACTCACGAATCATTCTTTGCTCAAGCAAACCTCAATTAATCTGTATAAAGTTTTTCTTGTAATGAAAGACTGGCACTCTTCTCTCTTAAAAATGTGTACGAGAAGCCAGCCATGGTGACGCGTGCCTGTAACTCCAGCACTCAGTAGGCTAAGGCAGGAGGTGAAAAGCGGGACTCTGCCTCAGAAAACAACAACAAAAAGTATAAGGAACAGGCTGTAAAATACGGCCTCTCTAGCATGGATTTTTCTCCCATATTGTCACTTCAATAAAATATACTCTGCTAGACATTTTAAAAGCTAAGCTACTGGAGCTGGCGATATAGCTCAGTAGCACGGTGCCTCCTGGCACGCGCAAGGCCCTGGGTTCAATTCCCACTTCCAAAACAAATAAATAAATAAATTTTTTAAAAAAAATAAAAGCTAAGCTACCAATGGGTGAAGAAATCATAGAGAAGTAAACATGAGATAGCAAGTAAATGAACAAACGCCGAGTTAAGATGCTACATCCCAGTATCCCAACTCTAAGCAAAGTTTAGTCTCAGGTTCCTAAGGCGACGCTCTGGCCTCCAAATCCAGGGGCATCGCCCTCTCCTTGGTGATATCAGATCTACCTGTTCGTTGTGGATCGCGGCTGGATTTCCACAGCGATATGAATTCTCCCCAGCACCCAGTTCTTGTGACTAAGACCTTCCAGCAGCTTTTCTGAGTTGCTCTCTCTCTTCTCCGTCTGCCCCTCGAGCCTTGACTGCCTGAATTTCTGCTGGGGTCCATGCCTCCACTGCCTCACAGCATGACAGACTGTTTCAGCTCACACTTTCAGGCACAACTTCCCTTTCCTTATGCTTTGCTCCCACTTGTCCAAATATCTCTAAATGTCATGCTGTTCTCCACCTCCCTGATCTGTCTGCAACATGCCAGCGAGCTTTTGATTAAACTATGCAAAACAGCTTCACGACTACAGTTCCACATATACCACAACGACCCCCGTCTCAGACGGTCCCAGAGTACTCTGAGCCACACATAATTAGAGAAAGTATTTTTCACCAGAACGTTGTGGACAAGAATTTAAAACTATTAAAAAAACCTCTATGACGTCAATCGAACTCACCACTGATAAGCTGAAGAGAGCCGGGATCTGGATTCAAGGAGGAATTCCCTACCAGAAGGTTCTGGTGCAGCATCTCAGCAATGTGCTCTCTGAAATTACCAATTGTGTACACAGCAGTGGGCTTGTCGTCCAGCTCCACCAGGCCGTGGTTTTCTACCTTGTTGGAATGAAGGCTAATTAGGTCCCACGTAGTATTGCTGATGGCCTCTCCACTGAAGGTGACTTCATAGTGAACATCTATGCCGCTGTGGGTGAAGAAAGAACACATGAGACCCAGCTGAGGGGGCACAGCCAGAGAAGTTCTAGTCCATAAAAAGGAACAAGCAGACCTAGAGAGACATTCAAAAGGCACAGGTTCCACCACATTCTCTACGAACTCTGGGGAGTTCTTGCCATCCCTGCGTGCAAAGAATGAGCGTCAAAGCTCTCAGCACAGGATGAGGATCTACGGAAGCCACGGAGTTAACTCTGCAGAAGTACTGAGCCTCTGGTCCCCCCATTCCCGCACTTCCTTTCCCCTTTCAAAGCAGTTCCTTTCTGTTCACCATCACCCTTCTTCCTTGTATCCCTGGTATTTTTGGGGTTTTTTTGGTTTTTTGTTGTTGTTGTTTGTTTGTTTGTTTGCGATACTGGGGATCGAACTCAGGACTTAGTGCTTGCCAGGCAGGTGCTTGTGCCACTGAGCTAAATCCCCACCCCTTCTTCCTTGTTTCCCGATTGGCGTTTCTCCTTGTAAAAGGAAGCCTTTCTAACCCCCTCAACAATGAGAAACCTTCTCTTATTTCTTTATTGTTGTTCGAAAAAATATGTAATAAGCCACAGGTCATGGTGGAAATCAGACACATAAGCTTAGATGTATCACATGGTTTCTCCCATATGAGAAACTCAGTGTATAAATAAAGTGCAAAGTAAAGTGCAGATAACAGGGGAAAAGAGAAAGAAAAAAGTCACCACAATCAGCATGAACAGTGTATCTAAAAGTGCACCTTGCTTTAGTATAACTGTCTTATGTGTTTTATGTATCTTTGGGCCTGCTAGTCTGGTTGTTAATCTGCCTATACAATAATTAATTTTATTCTTTTTTGTTTGTTTCGTTTTCACTTTTTGGTTTTTTGAGACATGTTCTTGCCATGTAGTTCAGGCCGGACTTGAACTCAGTATGTAGCAAAGGCTGGCCTCGAACTCTTGATGATCCTCCTGCCTCAGCCCCCCGATTGCCGGGATTGTAGGCATGCACCCCCATGCCAAGCAATAATTAACTTTATAATGACTCATAAGATAAATAAGTGAATCTGAGACCGGCAACTAATTAATTAATTAACGGGGCAGAGGGGAAGGGCAAAAAAATTGAGAAGTGTTACATACGTTCCAGTTCCCCTCGATGAATAGAATCATGCACTAATAAGAATTAAACATGTGCTAATAAGAATTTTAAAAGTAGTCACTTTGAGAAATAACATCAGTATACAAAATTTTATTTTATTTTATTTTGGTCATTTTGAGACGGTCTCACTATGCAGTTCAGCCGGCCTTGAGCTCACTTTGTAGCCCAAGCTGACCTCAAACTAGCAATGATGCTCCTGCCTCAGCCTCCCGAGTGCTGGGATTACAGGTGTGCACCACCAAGCCCGACAGGTTACAAGATTTTAAAGCAGATAGGAATTCCTCTTAAACCAGTGACAGCGAACCTTTTAGAGCTTCAATGATAAACAGCGGCTTGCTGTAGCACCCACGCCACAGATTCGCAGCACCGTCCTGACTCTCAGCCAGATTTCTCCAACAACGAAAAGCGATAAGGGCCTACAACATGAGAGGCACTTTGCATGGCTTTATCGCCTTTAATTTTCTAATAACCTGGGTGAGAAGTTTTTATCATCTTCAGAATATTGCTGAGGAAAGCGGGCTTTGAGGATGTTAAGACTTTTTTAAATTGCATAATAAAGATGTGGCAGAGTCACCATTTAAACTCTGATGTATCAGTGGGGCTTCGCTCCCCCTGACGACTATCATAAAGAAGTCACTACGGGGGAATCAGTCGCTGCACAGGCTGCCGGCCTGTCTCTGCACGCAGCCGTCACAGGCGCAGCCCGGAAGCCGTGCCAACACCCTCCGGAGAAAGGGGAGCACGACCTTCCCGAGATAAACCACCCAAGACAGATGTGCCACAGAAGCAATCTGCGCTTCAGACACTCCCTAGCAGCAACCGATTCCGAAACCCAAGCAGAGACAGAAATTAGGTGCGTCTTCCTCCGAACTTACTTAGAGGTTCTTATGTATCCTTGACCACAGCCTTCACTGCTCTGTTAAAAAACAGTAATAATATAGCAAGGCCGCCTCACTTCCCTGGAGTTTCCGTCCCCAAGGTTCAGCCTGACACCTGGCTCTGACAGGTCCCCAGTGCCCGCTGGAAGGACGGAAACCGACACCGGTCTGAATGTAGAAAGAAAACTACAGACAGAGCTAAGGAAAAGGCACCCCAGCGCGGTGCCACACTCCCACGATCCCGGCTCCCCAGGAGGCTAAGGCCAGAGGACTGCAAGTTGGAGGCCAGCCTGGGAAACCCGGCAAGACCCTGCCTCAAAGCAAAAAATTAAAAGGGCTGAGTGATAAGCTGGCGCTCCGTGGGGTCGAGACCCAGTCACCCCCCACACACACACACACATAAAATGGTATCAACAAAATGTTGACAGCACGTGATTTAGGAAGAAAAGAGTTGTCAGTAACTGATGCTACTGTTTAGGGGAAAGCTTCTGGTCAGTGTGCTGGGGCTCGCTTCTATGATAGTCTCTAGGCTGGAAACCGATAGAAGCTGTCATGGCTCGATGATACTGGCCATCAAAGTCATCCAGCTTCCTCCTCCGGCTTTCAAACTTGGAAAGTCTTCATTATAACTCCGTACAGATTTTCCTTTGGGAAGACAATGCATGAGCCAGCGAGTGTGTGAACGGGCAGCTGGTAGATGTGTTTCTTATTCTAAACAGATCAGTGAGAATCGTAGAGAGTCCACTGTCTTTTGTGGTCAGAGGAACCTGAATTGGTCTGAAGAGACCTTTCCCTCCTGGGAGCATGGGACTGGTTTGGACCAATTCTGGCCTGGTACAGGTGACACTCAGGAGTACAGGAAATGCCACGAAAGTGACCCCACTTACCGTGTAAACAGCCAGATATCTCTACTGTTCTTGTCTCCATTAGCATAGAAAGGCTTTTATCTCCCTTATTTATATTTTATCAGCGAGTGGGAATGAGGCATCACTCCAATACTGCCCGCCTCGCATATGATAAGCTAGCTGCCTCCTTTGATGGGGTCATTTAAGACTCTTCACAGTGGTAGCTGGGAACTCTGATATCTAGGTAATAAAAACAATTGCTATCATCTAGAAGCTCCCTCAATCCCTTAAGCAACTAAAGCCTTTAAATTTCACACATCAAAACATGCTAATCCATGGATAATTTCCCATCTTTCTTTATAAGGAAAGAAATTCAATAAAATGCTAAAATAACAGTGCTGGGTTCTAAGGTAGAATAAAACGGTAAGGGAGACACCTGCTGGTCAGAACTCAGCATCACAGTCTCCATGGCCGCGCAGGAGCCCTCCCTCAGGAGTCTCCCGGATGTACCCTGGCTGCACGTACTGCCCTGTCGGGGTCTTTGCACATCACCTCCTTCTCTTTACAGTGTCTGCTATTGTGTCCCACCCTACACACACTCACACACACACACACACACACACACACACACACACACACACACACATCTTCTTCCAACTAGCTGTTTCTTTCATTAAGATGTCACCTCCTGAGGGAAGCTCTTCCAAACACTGAAGTTATGGTTCATGGTTATAGTTTCTCTCCCTCCTTCCAACTGTATAGGCGCAATTATTATTATTAAACTCTGTATCTCAAGAATCTACAACAATGTCTAGCTCATAATAATTCAACAAATAGTATTGAAAATAATGGGGTAGATAGTCAATTTTGTTCACTAATGCAGGCAGGTAAAGTAACTGAATTTGTTCTACTTAAATGACAATGTATAACACTCCTAAGTGGAAGCATTTTCAGTCTATAAATATAAAAAGAGCAGTTTTCCACCCTATACAGCATTTATACCACCCTCATACATTTGTGTCTTTTTTTGTTTGTTTGTTTGTTTGTTTTTTGCCGGTACCGGGAATCGAACTCACGACCTTGTGCTTGCCAGGCAGGTGTTGTGCCGCTGAGCTAAATCCCCAGCCCCTACATTTGTGTCTTGTTAGCTGTCACTTTAGAGACGTTGTGTTAGGCACAAAGCCCAGCTCTGTGAGGTGCATATTCTCTCTTCAAGTTCAGTGGAACTGACTGTACCTCCATATCAGAAAGCTGGGCTCAACCTATGCTACTCACTTGTATTGTTAACAATACTCTAAAAGATGATGCAGTGATTTAAGAACAGAAGGAAGGAGGGGAGGGGAGGGGAGGGGAAAGGAAAGGAGAGCAGAGGAGAGAAGAGAAGAGAGGAGAGGAGAGAAGAGAGGAGAGGAGAAGAGAGGAGAGGAGGGGAAGGGAGGGAAGAGCGGAGGAGAGGAAAGGGGAGGGGAGGGGAGAGGAGAGGGAAGGGGAGGGGAGAGGAGAGGAGAGGAGAGGAAAGGACGGGAGTGGAGGCTGTGCCAAATAAACCTTGAATCGTGTCCTGGGCTCTGCAGAAAATCAGACGAGGAAAGTCAAGCATTTGCTGGAAGATTACCATATGCTTTGCATAACTTAAAAAATTACAGGGGGAAGATCAAAAGGAATGTTCCTAGATCAAGAAACCTATGTAAATCCTTCGTCCCAGGCTAGATTACGGGCCTTTCTCTCCTGGCAGTTTGCTCCCTAGCATTTCCATTGGGCATCCAAATACACTTCTGTTATAATCTTCCCTGTCTAAGATAAATTTATTAAAGAAGACAAAATGACTCAGAGAGGTGCCGCAATTTATTGCTGTGTTTTTTTCCTAGAAAGAGAACTCAAAACAAAAATGTCTGAGGTGCTGAGAAACCATGTATCCTTAGGGCCAGGAACTTCCCCGGGACCCGGAACAGGCTCGGCTCTGGCACAGTAAAGGAACGCGGAGATGTCTCTGGGCGGACAAACTGAGAGAAAACCAGGAGGCCAAAGAAATCCATAAGAAGTAGAACACACAGCCGCAGGTACTATGTGACTGCAGACGTCCCTGCCGGCGGCCTCCGTCAGGAACCCCAAGTTAACCAACAAAAGCTCAGCTACGTCGTGCCGTCCTCTGACCCGGACTGAGCGAGCTGAACGTAGGACAGTTTCTGTATTCGACAGCTACTTCCAGAGACATCGGGCGTGTGGAAGTGAACCTCCCCCTTTCTTATTCCCTCACCTTCAGTGTCCTGACTGGCTTTGAATCAGCAGGTCTTTCAAAGGAAAAACTGTGGTACTGAGGTAGGATGGAAGGTACAAACAAGAAAAATCGTAACTGCAAAAATAAAAACCAGGCTTCCGGGCACAAGCCCAGTTTAAAAACACATTTTTTTCCTTGTCCCTAGATACAACAGGCCTGGCCATTCCCTTTCACCTGTGAATGGGCTCCTCCCCACAGGAAGAGCTGCGACCCTTCACCGTAAATGGAATCCCCTCTCTCCATAGATTCACAAGCTGCGCAGGTTCCGCGTGCACACCTCCCATAAATATACCTAGCCCAGGCTGCGAGCACCCCCGCCTGCCTCTCTCTCTCCTCTCAGACCTGCACTCTATTTCTCTGAGTGTGTACTTTTAAATTTCTGCCACACAAATCTCTTTTTGCCTCTTACTGACATGTCCTGAAAATTCTTTATCCACAGTAAGAGTCAGCAAACCTGCAACCTGTAAACCATTCTGTGAGGACAGCAGGTTTGGACTCTTCATCACCACTGTGGGACCCTCCGAGGGCCGTGTGTAGTGACAGTATAACATCTCCTCAAGCTCAGCCCAGATAGAGACACATAGGGAAACTCAGACACTCCTTCCTCCAGAACACTTCTTACAAAGCCTGAAACTGGGGGCCCTGGATACAGCTCCGCGGCGCCCGCCTGGCAAGCACAAGGTCCTGGGTTCGATTCCATACCCACAAAAAAGAAGCCTGAAGCTGAAGTTAGAAATATGTTACTGTATAAGGAAGTTATGACGTATGTATGTATATTGTTGGCTTACTGCACATGGGTCCTGCTTACTTACAACAATGACTGCAGCCTGAAATAGTCACAAAATGAACAGGAAATTTCCTAAGCATTTAGCGGCGGGGGGACTTTCATTCTTTAAACATTTCGGTGCCACACACTCGTTCATACATAACCTGGCACATAGGCACCCCAAAAAGTTACAGATAAACTCCATAGAGGAATGAGGCGTAACGCTGGAACTTCTAAAAAACTATACACAATTTAATAATTGCATCACAAAATCGAATGACTGTATGGGATTGTCTGCGTCTCTACACAGCAGTGCTGGCCCTGAGTGATGGGGCACCATTTTTTATCACAGGGTTAACGTCAAGGTTCGGGGTTGTTTTAGCATTTTAACCACCCCAAGAAGGCAGCAAGTAAGCAACGAAAGCACATTGCCATGTTCCATTAAAACTTTATTCATGCTTATGAAATTATTCTTGAGCACTAAACCTATATACCTGTAAGACATACACACGGAGTAGTTACGTAAGCTCCAAGTACAGAAAACCAAAATCTGGTTACCTTGCCAAAGTAGCTGATATCACCTGGCTATGTAACTTACAACATCAGTTTGCCTTGTTGAAGCAAAATTTCCTTGTTCTCAGAAGAAAATGAATATTAATTCTCATTTCTACTATCCCAGAGAGATACTGAAATGATAAAATGAGAAAAAGAACTAGAACTGTGACAGCTCTGAAAGTAATTTTTATTAGATTATGTGTTCCTGAGGACAGCAATCAAGAGTCATTCATTTTCTGTAGGTATAGTCTTTGCTCAGTTACAGGCACGTCATAAATACTTGTTAAAATAATATAAAGAAAAAGAGGAAGTCAGAAAGCCCTTTCCATATGATATTACTGTCGTCCCTCACTATTTGTGGTATTTATCCTCCAGCTCCAAATGCTGTGGATGTTCAGATCCCTTGCATAAAATGGTGCAGTATTTGCATGTAACATATACACATTCTACCATGTACTTTAAATCATCTGTAGATTATTTCTAGTATCTAATTCCATACAAGTACTATGTAATAGCTAGGGAATAGTAACAAGAAAAAAATCTGCATATGATCAGTGCAGGCAGAGGTTTGTTCTTGTATTTTTGGCTTTTTCAAATATCTTCCATCAGTAGCTGGTTAAATCCATGGAAGTGGAATCTGCCAACTGTACAATACGGAATAACACTGTGTCTCTAAACATGGCCATATTTAGCCTATGATTTTACTCTGCTGTACTTCATAGTCTCCCAAGAGAAAATACATTTTGAACCCAAAGACAAAAATGGCAAGAAATCTTCAAAAGGGAATATTTATTAAGTTCTTATACTGTTTCTTCTATAAAATTCTAGAAACTCTTTTTACACAAGAACTATTACAGATCAGCTTTCTCCCTTTCATTTACCAGAGTACACTTCGTTATCTTACTGAATGACACAGCATACTTGAAAGCACCTCCATTCACACAATTTATTATTCCTAGTTTAAATTAAGCATAACTCAGTATTTAAAGTACTTGTCAGTCAGCAGTCTATACAAGAGTCTACCTGGATGATGATAAACAAATACTGACTGAAAAAAAAAGAAGCCTATAAACTATAGTTTGTGAATGCCCCTCAGGCTGCTATTCATGAGTCAATGCATTTTAAGTGGTTGAAAAGAATCAAAACAGCAATTTTTTTTTTTTTTTTTGTGAGACAGGGTGTCACTGTGCAGTTCAGGCTGGCCTTGAACTCACTATGTAGCCCAGGTTGGTCTCAAACTCACAGCGATCCTCCTGCTTCAGCCTCCTGAGTGCCGGGATTACAGGCGTATGCCGCCACGCCCGGCATTCAAAACAGTAATTTTGTGACATGTGAAAATACATGAAATCCAGATTTCAGTGTACATGAATAAAGTTTTAATGGACCATAGCAATGTGCTTTCACTTACAATGTACTGCCTATGTCTATTTTCACCTAATAAAGCCGAGCAGTTGTAGAGATCACACAGCCTCAAAACTGAACACGTTTACCACTGGTCATTAACAGAAAACATCTGCCAACCGCCTGCTCTGTAAGGAGATGGACAGCGACATGGGCAATGACTAAAAGACTGCATCAGGCTCGCACACACCTCAGGCTTCTACGGTTTCCACACTACCCCGACTGAAAGTGAGGGGCCGCCAAAAAGTACTTTACCTGCCGTTTCCCCGAGGGGGCCTGAAAGTTAAAATGGAAATCGTTAGTCAGAGTTTAAGACAGCTACAAACGTCACATCACTCATCAAAGCACAAGTTATTTATATATTTCTTCCCATTTTCTTTGAAATACCTTCTGAAATGAAAATGCAAAAGTCATGGTATCAGACACTGGCAAAGTTCTATACATTAAAGGAAATAAAAGTGAAGAAAATATCTTAAAACCAAAAGTTTTTATAGTCAATTAAACTTCTGCTTTAAGACATTTTTAAATAATTGATATATGGCTTATTTCTTTCTAAACAATTTCCTGAAGTACTAGACATTGAATCCAGGACTTCTGCACGGAGCCACCTCTCCAGGCCTTTTTTCTTTTTATTTGGAGACAAAGTCTCCCTAAGTCACTACGTTTCCCAGGCTGGTCTCAGACTTGGCAATCCCCTGCCTCAGCCTCCCGGAGAGCTGGAGTTACAGGTGTGCACCCCTCCCTTGGCCATAAGTAATTTGGTTTTGGTAGATTAACAGGACTTCAATTGTTAACGTTAAAATTGGAAACCTTTCTGGCAATGCATGTGTTATAGTATTAAAATAAATGAAAAGAAAATCAGATTTATAGATCCACACTAAAATAAGACACTGAGAAATTTCAGAACATCACTGAAAAAAAAAAATGATCCTATAACTCTCAAGAGAGATGGAAGAAATCTTATAAATCAAAATGAACTTCTAGAATAACAAAGAAATTAGAACGAAAACTTCAAAACTAAACCAAGTTGTTTTTCAACCATAATTCCATGCCTAATCAAACTATTTACCCAGTAGGAGAGTCAAATCAGGATATTTTCAAACGTGCACAGAAACAATGAAATTATTTCCCATACACTCTTTTGTGTTACATCGCAATGAAAAAGTAGAGCAAGAAAAAATTTTACATAGTCTTCAGCAGCGAGTAGAGGAATTCCAGATTGTTCCCCAGGTGTGGAGGAACACCAGTTAAGATACAGGATAAGCTCTGTAACAAACGGGTCTCCCAAGCACAGTGGCTAGAAGGGAAAAGCATCTTTCTTTCTCATGTGGCACCCGCAGCTGAGCAACACAGACAGAGGGGACAGTTGAACTTCACAAAATCAAGTGAGGGCCCAAGCTCCTCTTCTCTGGTGCTCATCCAGATTGTCATACTTCTCCTCATACTCAAAGCCTGAGTACGTAACTGTACTCCAGTTTGCGGGAAAAGCTTAAACAGACACTCAGTAAGAAATTAAAAGAACTTCACATAGACCCCTCTACTTTCACGCCATCAAGAGTAACAGGCGCACGGCCAAACCTGCGAGAAAGAGGTAAGGAAATATAATTCCTGGCTACGCAACCATGGGTTTAATTTAAATTGTCTGATTATGAAAGAAAGGAAAAGTAGAATTTGGATATATTTTCATTGTGCTGTGAAGAACAATCAGACCAGATTGGTTTGTGTTTTAAAAACTAAGACCAAACATAGTGCTGACTCCTTGAATATATTATTTTGTCTTTCTCTAACTCTGTTTCCTCTCCTAAAAAACCAACACTGAGAATACTAATTCACCAGAAATAGCATTGAAGTACAGCGTTCAGATCCTGTTTTGTTACAGCAGATGTGATAAATGCAAAGGACATTTCATTTACAAAGACTACTATGGAGCACACGTATTTATAAAGTAAATCTGTTTACCTAAATTCAAGAACATGAATGTCCTTGTAGCCTGGTAACCCAGTAAATGCATTTTCAACCTGTTAAAAATAAAAATAAACATTACAACTATATAGAAATGTGGAAAAGTACTGTATATATAAACTCTTTTAAGTATATTACTTACAGTTATTTGAAGATACACATGAGTCCAACAATGAAAACACATTTTCCAGCAATTACAGTATTAGAAAATAGCACTTGTCATAATACTGCCATATTTTTCTTTTTCACTTGCCCTTTAAGGTTTCAATGTGTTTCCACACTAATTTTCTCTAAATTATAAAAAGCATCTTTTTACCGGCAAAATCCTGTTTTAACTCATCTGATGAAATATGAAAAGATACTAATCTCAGAAAAGCTAATGATAGAGCTTTTAAATGTTATTGTTTGCATTAAAAATCGGCCGCAGAGGAACTTCTCTGGCTGCGGGCAGGGCGAACAAACCCTCAGCCCCACGTGCCCTGCGCAGCGAGAGCCAGTGTTCCAGGAGTGGCTAGAGTCTGGGCTCGAGTCTGTGCTCACCCACACTGCCAGGGGTCCCAGCTGAAACGC